TATTCCAGAGCCACTGAAGCTGTTTTAACGGCACGGTCTCAATGAGCCAAGCCAGAGTGAGTTTGCGGGCAGTTTCCGCTTCATCTCGCCACAAGCCTCATGTGTCGGCGTTGACGTCAAAGGTGCTCAGGTCGCACCTGCGGACGTCTCGACATCGGAGTTCTGGGCGACCTCTCGTGGTGTTTGCTACTTCTTGCCCTGCGCTGTGGAGGGAAGGGTTGGGTGGATAGCGCACACACACACGCACATTATGTGGGCGTCAAGGTGCCATACCCTGGCTCGCCAGGAGAAGGCGGTACGGTGAAGTGCGGACTAAACTCATCTGCCCCTTAAATTTCAATTTAAGGCTTTCGTGACTGCAGGGATTCGTATTCTTGGGTCTTTCGAAACGTGAGAATTTTATTGGTTTATTTTTATTGTTTTATAATTTCTCATCTGTCCCCTTTCGACTGGAATAGAGGTTTGCGCCATTGCACACGTGGGCTTCCTCCGGTTGCTCCGGTCTCCTCCCACATTTATAAACACGAACTACTTATTGGCTGAAAGCATCTTAATCTATGCACCTCCGTGTTTCAAGTTTCATTTCTTAGGTGTAGCCCTGTGAGCCATTCAGCTCTTGAATCGGGTGCAACCGCAACAAAAAAAACATGAACAAGAAAACACAAAGCATATTTGCGCAGGGTTGTGTGTGATGCAGTTGCATAAAGGGGCCATAAATGACGTCACTCACCTAGTGGGGGGGGGGGGGGGGTCAGACATTTGTGACGATGTGTGACGATGGGGGGGGGGGGTTGAGAAATGTGACGTCACATCAAAATGCGCAACTTTAAATAATATAGACAACACGTTCTACTTACTCTTTAATAATAAATAAAATAATTATTTTATTTATTATTTTATCTTTATACGTGACTTTACCGAAAGAACCAAATAGTAATTCCTGCAGTCACGAAAGCTCCACATTTAAGAACGTTCTACTTAATTAAATATACTTTTTAATAAATGTTTTCTCCTACAACATCAGAGTGCAGCGCCACATTAAATACGCACTACAATGACAATAGTTTAAAGCGATTTGAAGCATGTTTTTTTTGGAGGGGGGGCAGAGTTTTGTGACGTCATATTTGAGGGGGGGGGCAGAGCTTTGTGACGTCATATTTGAGGGGGGGTCTGACTTTTTGTGACGCCGTGTGATGAGGGGGGGGGGGGGTTAAAAATCGTCCAAAATCGCGTGACGTCATTTATGCACGGTCCCAAATGACGCTACTATATTTTTTACATTATAATAGATACTACAGCATATCTTGAGGCGTGCATCGACGCACAACAACCGGTGGTGACATCACCATGGCGCTTGTGTCAGGCTGGGTGCACTTTGAGGCCAAGTGAAGTGTCGAAGGCTCGCTGGAACGTCACGGGACAGATCCAGGAGCCATGAGATGCACCAACTGTGTCAACTTTCTGTATTTTAGCCGCCCGGCGCTCCACTCGTTGTTGTGAGCGTCGCTAGTCTGCCCTGCGCACTTGCATGTACATTGCATGGTATGGTTGTACAGACACTCTACTCTACGCGACATATTTATACACTCACTATATTTATCTATATGTGTATTCCATCATGGCTCCACCATCTGTTAGGTATGAAGGATAGACGATATGTGACAGCTCGTGACAGCCAGGTTCTGTGATTTCCACCAATTTGTCAAACACCATTAACATACAAAACATTTTACAAACATTGTAATTCAGTAGTTTCTTGAAGATGATCAAAATGCATCTTCCAGAGAAGGAAGAGACCACGACCTGCCACGGCAGCCTTCTCCTGGAAGCGGAAGGTTGTCGCCGATTGGTGGCGAAAATCTTCCAAAGGCGATGAGATCAAACAAACACGAGTAAGATGAGTCAGGCGAGTTTCCGAATGAAGGGCTGCTGTGGAAGTAGCTTTCGCATCATTTATTGATCCGCCTTGTGTCTTCCAGAAGAGCTTTGCCATTCACAGTTCAGGTTATTGATCCACCTTGTGTCTTCCAGAAGAGCTTTGCCTTTCATAATCCAGGTTATTGATCCACCTTGTGTCTTCCAGAAGGGATTTGCCTTTCACAATCCAGGTTATTGATCCACCTTGTGTCTTCCAGAAGGGATTTGCCTTTCATAATCCAGGTTATTGATCTACCTTGTGTCTTCCAGAAGGGATTTGCCTTTCACAATCCAGGTTATTGATCTGCCTTATGTCTTCCAGAAGAGCTCTGCCCATCACAGTCCACGTTATCGATCATCCTTGTGTCTTGCAGAAGAGATTTTCCCTTTACAAATCACGCTTTCCTGCCTAAAATGAACAAACGAACAGGGACGAAGATACAGTTTGAAGTTAAGAACACATTTCATTGATTAGTGTTTGAGCTAGAGGAGGAGGAGGAGGAGGGAGGGAGGGAAGGGGAGAGGAGAGAGGGGGGCCGGGAGGGTTGACACAGGGGACAAATGGGGGGAGAGGGGAGTGAGACCTCATGGGCGATGCCCGTGGGATTGCGGGCTTCCTGCGAGCATGCGCCATCAACACAGACAAGGCTTCATTCCTAGTTGCTCTATGCCCCCCCTCGTCACACATTGTCACAAAAAGTCAGACCCCCCCCTCAAATATGACATCACAAAGCTCTGCCCCCCCCCCCCCCCCACAAATCATATTTCCATTTTAAAAATAAAATGTGCTTCAAATAGCTTTAAACTATTGTCATTGTAGTGCGTATTTAATGTGGCGCTGCACTCTGATGTTGTAGGAGAAAACATTTATCAAAAAGTCTATTTAATTAAGTAGAACGTGTTGTCTATATTTATTTAAAGTTGCTCATTTTGATGTGACGTCACATTTCTCAACACCCCCCCCCCCTCGTCACACATCGTCACAAATGTCTGACCCCCCCCCCCATAGGTGCGTGACGTCATTTATGGACGGCCCCTGTAATGTGCACCGATGCCTGCTTTATTGATGGCGATTTCGGCACGTACAATTGAGAATGATCGATTGATTGATTTCTCACTGCTGATAGGGTTTCGGGCCGCTGGTTCGTGAACTGGTTGGCACGGCCATCGTGAAGAGTTGTGCTGGATGTGGTGGTGTGCTGGGTGTGGAAATATATTTGGTGTCGCCGTCCCGGCTGAATTGGCATCTAGAAACGTAGCTACGTAGAGTTACACGCAGTGCCCAGTGGACTATTGGGGCAAGTGCCCTTCGCGAGCACCCGTTAAGGCCATCGTGGCCTTCATCAGTAGCTCGTACTACCACCCGCCACTTGGTTGCTCGTGTTTACACACTGCAACAGGTACTCGTTTAAGGCTAAGTCGACCCACTGGAGGCCCAGGACAGGTTCAGATAATCGCGGCTGTTTTTGGTTGTGAGTGGGAATCGAATTCGGGTCAGTGGCGTAATTAAGGCTCGGTGGACGTAGGGTAGGCACGGTTTTGCCACTTGCTTCACTGATGTCATTCACGGCTGGGTAATCTACCCCAGGGTCACCGGGTTCGCTAAGGGAGTGTTGAACCACTGTGACACGAACATAAGCATGCACCTGTTCGCATACGCATGCACACGTGGACACGCGGACACGCATGTAGACGTGCATGCATACACATTGTTAGGAAGACACTGGAGCAATGCACTTTTACATCTGGATCGAAAACTCATTGAAATAAAACGGCGTTTTGTGTTCTATTTGTTGTCCTTTCCCCGCACCTCCGATTAGCACCGTTGGTATGTACGGTGCGAAAGAAGTTCGGCATACATACACACATGCACGCCTTCTCACACACACGCTCGATTATGCTTACAGCATTATGCATTTACATTGTATTTGATACACATACCCACATACAGTTATATGAGCTATGAGGTACAGGTTATACACACACATTGATATGAACTTGCATTATCTACACAGACACCCACCAACACTCAGACATGCACAAAGACAAAGATCCCGGAATGTAGTAGCCTGAATAGGCTTGGGGCAAGTTCTGTTAGGGAGCACCTATGAAGGCCAGCACGGCACATGAGGGGGTGTGGGTGGCCACGCACACACACGTGGACACACTCACACGTGCACACACTCACTCACACGTGCACACACTCACTCACACGTGCACACACTCGCACGTGCACACACTCGCACACGCACACACTCGCACACACGCGCACACTCACACACGCGCACACTCACACACTCACACACGTGCACACACTCACACGTGCACACACACGCACGTGCACACACGTGCACGCCCACACACTCACACGTGCACACACTCACACGTGCACACACACGTGCATGCCCACACACTCACACGTGCACACACACACGTGCACACACACACGTGCACGCCCACACACTCACACGTGCACTCACTGACACGTGCACTCACTCACACGTGCACACATACACTCACACGTGCACTCACTGATACGTGCACTCACTCACATGTGCACGCACTCACACGTGCACGCCCACACACTCACACGTGCACGCCCACACACTCACACGTGCACTCACTCACACGTGCACACACTCACACGTGCACGCCCACACCCTCACACGTGCACTCACTGACACGTGCACTCACTCACACGTGCACACATACACTCACACGTGCACTCACTGACACGTGCACACATACACTCACACGTGCACTCACTGACACGTGCACTCACTCACACGTGCACGCACTCACACGTGCACGCCCACACACTCACACGTGCACTCACTGACACGTGCACACACTCACACGTGCACGCCCACACCCTCACACGTGCACGCACTCACTCAATGCCCATTCTGTGAAAGTAACTGTAGACGGGGTCTTTGCATAGCTCACACTCCCAATGGGGCAGGGCTCTTTCAGGGCACGTGAGACGTGGGCAAGGGCATTGTTAGGACAGGGGCAAGGTCCAGGGCATTCGAATGCCCCTGCCTGAGCATACATAAGTGCCGACGCCTCCGCGCTGTGGTGTGTGCGCGTGTGGATATTTTCTGCCTACGTGACCACGGCAGCACACGCACGCTCGCTTGTGTGAGCACTCGAGCGAGGAGGCACTGTGAATTGTTAAAGGTTAAACGTTCAAAAATATCGGCCGCTGACTTAACTCGTTTTCTTTGGCCGGCGTTAGGTGGTGTCATTTTTTTTATACTTTTCGCAAAACGTTAAAGTGGACAAGTTGTTTTTTAAATAATTTTTTTGTTTATATTTGATGAGAATATTTATTTTGCGCTTCGCCACCAAGTGCATCGCTCTCAGCGTGGGTGCTGTCGGTGTTTAACTTTGTCTTCACGTTGCGGTTTCGCGGTCGTCTTGAGAAAATGTGAGTTGAAGGGCCGCGTGGCATGTCGCAGTGATCCGTGTGTTGTAGGGCCCTAATGTGCAACATTCACATTTGTGCCACGCATATTCTTGGGTTTTTTCGGTAAAGTCACGTAGGTAAAAAAATAAAATTCAAATTAATAAAAGTTAAGTAAAAATTAAATAAAAATCACGACGTTTCGGAGGCAACACAAGCTTCTGTCTTCAGGTGGAACCGTCACAGCACGATTGCTGTATCAAGTATTGCTGTATCATTTACTTGATACAGCAATCGTGCTGTGACGGTTCCACCTGAAGACGGAAGCCTGTGTTGCCTCCGAAACGTCGTGATTTTTATTTTATTTTTATTTTACTTTTATTAATTTTAATTTTTTACCTACGTGACTTTACCGAAAAAACCCAAGAATATGAATCCTTGCAGTCACGAAAGCTTCAAATCTAGAATTGTGCAATGCAGTTAAACGTTTATGAGTTCAAATGTGAATACTGTGTGTACACTTCTGTGACTGTGTAGCAATTTATTTTGTAAAGTGTAACCATTCTAAAAGGTATATATCTGATAAAGGCACAGCCCTGCAATGGCTGGATCACGTCACTGCTGGTGGTGGAAGTGCTTCCAGCAGAGGGAGCTCTAGAGAACCACTCTACAATGTATTTGGCCTACTCTTCCAGGCCTCATGTCATACTGTATAATTAGTTGTTTTAATGCATTTGTTTAATTGCCACTTTTATAGTTCAAAGGGTCTGTTTGTATCATCAAAATAAAATAAAATAATGTTTGTCCATGAGCCAGTGGGCCTTTGGAACAATGTTTTTTTACTTGAATAATTTATTTTAAAAATACCATTCGAGTCAAGCTTATTAAAAGTTTTAGGAGTCTAATATTAGTCATATCTTGTAATGAATTAGAATGAAATGTTTGCAGTGGCATGTTTATCGCATGATTCAAGTTACGTTTAAAAGGAAGATGCAATCCCAAGAGCAAACGGCTCTTATTTTGTAGCAACTGACCTAGGAAGTGCCCTGATCTGTCCGACGATAGTTTAAGCTTCATTCGTGAGAAAAAAAATAATACTAGAAAGTTACCCTCTGGCATAGCGCCATGGCATCATCCAGTGAGTTCTCTGTGGTGCAACTTCCGTTACCTATTAAGAGCACCAACAGCAACAGCGATGTCATCACCACGATGCTTGCGCCAGGCTAGGTGCACATTGTGAGGCTGCGTGAAATGTCGAGGGGCTTGCTGCTGGCAAGAACTGAACTTGTGAAAAATAAGAACAGATTTTACCCTTTCTGGATATAAAACAGGTGTCAAGATGTTTAAACGTCAAATACTGTAGATACCTTTTACAATGAATCAACATGCAAACAGGCTGTCTCTGGCGTAGGCCAATCCGTTTCAAAGACAATTCACATATTATCGGAGCATGTTTTGTTTGTATGTTCACCAAAAGTACGTGTGGTTAATGCAGACTTGATTACTTTTCATACTGTGATACTGCCAAAAAAGTCCGATGATAAACTAAACTTTTTATTTTACCAGGTAAGGTCTACTGAGCTATATAGCTATTTTACAGAAGCGACCTGGCCACAAATGATAGCTCAACGGAGTGGCTTATCAGGTGGAAATGTATTGCAGCAAAATACCCTCGAATTGCATGTTGATTATACACGTGAGTGTTGGTGGGTGTCTCTGTAGATAATGTGGAGAACATGCAAACTCCCAAACACACAGGCGTCGGGGTCGGAATCGAACCCATGACCTCCCGTATACTCGGCGAGGTAGTTAACATATCTCAGGATCAGGATCGAACCCACGAACGCCTGCATACCAGGTGAGGGAGTTAACATCTCTCAGGATCAGGATCGAACCCACGACCCTCTGTAGACCAGGCGAGGTAGTTTACATCTCCCAAGGTCACAATCGAACCCACGAACTCCTGCATACCAGGCGAGGTAGTTAATATCTCCCAGGGTCACAATCGAACCCACGAACTCCTGCATACCAGGCGAGATAGTTAACATCTCTCAGGGTTACAATCGAACCCACGACCCCCTGTAGACCAGGCGAGATAGTTAACATCTACCAGGGTCACAACCGAACCCACGAACCCCTGTATACCACGCAAGATAGTTAACATCTTATCAGGGTCATAATCGAACCCACGAACTCCTGTAGACCACGCGAGGTAGTTAACATCTCCCAGGGTCACAATCGAACCCACGATCCCCTGCATACCAGGCGAGGTAGTTAACATCTCGCCACCACGGCACGAGGAGTTCGGGTCGGACGTGACCTGTTGACGCGACTACATCGAGACGCATTGTGGCAGCCGCCACTGCAGCCAACGTCACGGCGCACGTCAGCGGCACGCTGGCAGTCGTCCATGCGGACCCAATGTAGGTCGGGGCACACTTGGGGGGGGGGTCGTTATAGAAATAGCGGTGCTCGCTTTGGGAACCAATTAGGCAAGTTTTCGGGGAGATCTAGATAATTATTTATTTACTTTTACAAGCACACATTGTTTTTAAAGCCAGGGGGGTTTCAGCCGGTGGCACGGTGGTCAATGCGCTGCACTCTTTGAGCCCGCCGGTCACCCGAGTTCAATTCCCGGCCACGGCTAACGTCACGGCGAGGGGTATCCGAACGTGTCCCGGTCCTGGTCCCGTCCCCTTCACTATGACCCTCGCTGAAGACCGCGGTGAAGTATGGTCAACCACCCCCATGACCTGCATCCAGCAGTCGATTTACCAGTGGCTGTGAAGTATTTAAAGGGAATTAAACCCAAACACGGCACACGGCTGCTGTAGATGCATAGCTAGGCTGTACAACGAGTAGTTTCAAGCTTCGCTAATGATAAAACAAAATACTTTTAAAGTGATGGCTAGGCGTATCATCATGGTGGCTCACTGCAGTGTTACTTCCATGCGTTTTAACGCCACGTCCATGCATTGATGTCTCTGGAGCGCTATGGTAGCACCTGCCTCGCTATGCCATTAAAGTCTTGATTTATCGTAAACAAAGCATTACATCATGTTGGATAGCCCAGGACAACACACCCCAGGTGCTGCGTAGCTGCTAGAGAAGAGCCACTGTTTACATTTCGATTTTAAGCTTTCGTGACTGCAGGGATTCATCTTCTTGGTTCTTTCGGTAAAGTCACGTAGAAGGGAAGTAATAAAATAATAAAAATAAAACATAATAAAATAATTCTCACGACGTTTCGCCCACAACACAAGCAGCCGTCATCGGGTGAAGAATTCTTCACCTGAGGAAAATAATTTGTGAGAATTATTTTATTATGTTTTATTTTTATTATTTTAATACTTCCCTTCTACGCGACTTTACCGAAAGAACCAAGAAGAAGAGCCACTGTTTGTTTGGGGTCTTCCTTCGAGTCCCTGCACTGCCGTGGATGTCGGCGGTGTTTGGATATAACAAAATAAAATAGCGCTTCTATCTCCCCGATGCGTCTTCGCATTGTACCACGTGTTGTTGTTTGGCACAATGTCCGACGTTTTGCTCCATGTGCATCTTCAGTTCATTGAGGTCAGTGACTGAGTGTGCAGTGCTGAAATTAAAGAGACGTCTTTTTCCAGGGATAAAATGTTCCGCTCGAGTCCCTGATTAGTGTGGCTGAGATGCTTGCAGTGACCGATGTATAAATATGACTTGCGGTCAGTTTTGAAGTGGGAAACTTCACTTGACCATGGAGCATGTGGAGCGAAAAAGCACAATTGTGTAAACGATACATATTCTTAGGTTTTTTCGGTAAAGTCACGTAGGTAAAACATCAAAATTAATAAAAATAAAATAAAACAAAAAATCACGACGTTTCGGAGGCAACACAAGTCTCCGTCATCAGTCACGTAGGTAAAACATCAAAATTAATAAAAATAAAATAAAACAAAAAATCACGACGTTTCGGAGGCAACACAAGTCTCCGTCATCAGGTGGGACGGAGACTTGTGTTGCCTCCGAAACGTCGTGATTTTTTGTTTTATTTTATTTTTATTAATTTTGATGTTTTACCTACGTGACTTTACCGAAAAAACCTAAGAATATGAATCCTTGCAGTCACGAAAGCTTCAAATCTAGAATTAAACGTATACAGTTACGCATGGGAAACGTCGCAGCGAATTTTAAACAATCTGCTCTTATCCTGGTGAATCGCAACCACACACGCACACATGCACGTGCACCAGCAGCCATTCACGTCTGGGTACGCCTGGGAGGAGGGCCAACCAATAACCGTAGATGACCTCTGTTCGTGAGCTTATTAATATTCATGGCATGGTCATCATGACTATTAATGAGACCTCTGAATGCAGGCAAACGTAATCTATTCACGAAGCGTGTAATGATTCACTCCACCAGCCAGTCCCTTAATTATTTAATACACTGTCACGATTGTGAGTCGTGGTCTGACTTAAGTTTCGATTCCCTTTCTGTCTTATACTGTCTCTTGCTCTGTCACATCTATAAATGACGAGACAAAACCCATGATCATAACATAAAAATAAAAATAGTGCAGGCCCAAAAACCGTGAGTTTCAAACAAAACACATAAATGTGTACAAAGCACTCAGCCTCTGTGCATTGTGCGTTGATTTTTGCATAATGGACAAAAGCCCAGTGTTTTTTGACACATGTTTGTGTGCTGTTTAAAACTCGTGTTCTGTCTCATTTGATAAGGAGCCTAAAGGTAACGTTTGTGCTTGATGTGAATACATTCTAAGTGATCAATTCCTACGTGAACAACCGATGGACGTGTCATGAGCGTAAGAATTGGTTGTAATCGATAAATAGTTACACACTTGCGATTAACAATCAACAACTCACGGTTAGCATTGCGTAGCGTTATGTAGAATAATAAAGAAAATACATGAAGAGTAAACATCTTGGAACGCTTCTTGTGGCCATATTTATTTTGGTAAAAAAAACAAAAGTGCACATTGCTTTGTTAAGATGTTATTAGTGGCAGTTTCGGAAGCACCCATATATCTGCGTGTAAGCAAATTTGTTTGTAACGTTACAAAAAACCTGACACAATACTGTCAACATTCACCAATGTATTTGCAACAAAGTGACATTTTCCTATTTTCTGCAACAGGCCCTAATATTGCCGCAAATTTATTTATTGTTTTGTTCATATATTCCGAGGTTACAGTAATTGTACCGACTGTAACTTAGATCCTTGGAATCAAATCAATCTAAATACCTCAATATTAAATTATTGAACTCAAACCACGAATTATATCCTTGGACTTAAACACATAGACTTAGAATTGTTACTTCAACTCGCGGATTTTGACCCTTAGATAGGAACTTCTTGACTCACGGACTTGAACCTAAACCCCATGATTTAGATATACACATTTATCCACGTAGACCCATGGATTTAACAAGTACACTTAGATACAGGATTTAGCCCAACAGCCTTAATTCAAGACTTTGACCCATGGGCCTCAACCCATACACTTAGATCAGAGTTGGGAAACTTTTTTATTTTTCAGAGCCAAATAGGGCTTTCAAATATCTTTGGTGGAAGGCCACACACCACCTCACACCTCTGTCACGTCTGTCACTGCAAGAGGCAATTGCAGTGACAGAAGAGACTGAGTGTGCCCAAATTAGAAAGATATTTTTTCCAGGTCAAAAATATTCCACCCTCTAGTACCCGATTAGTGCAGCTAAGATGCTTGCAGTGATGGATAAGTATCATTTGTGGTCTGTTTCGAAGTGGTAAGTCACATGTGGCCACGGGACATATGAATTGCAGTCATGGATCGTAGCTTCCCCACCCCTGACCCAGACACACAGACACACGAACTTCTACCCTAGACCCATGGGCTCAAACTCATATCCTTAGACCCATAACTTAGCCATTTGTACGTGTTTGCCTGGTCTCGGGCTATCACCTTAATCCTCTGGGCATCCTTATTAACCCTGACCCCCCCCCCCCCATAGGGCCCTCCTGAGTGGTGCTGATGCCAGCACCACCCTCCTTGGCCTGTGAAAAGATGGCATCTGTACGGCAGACACGCGTCCTCACCCTCAACGCCATGGACAACCTGGAGCGCACGCTCTACCGCGTCAAGAAGGGTGAGCAGGAGCGCGTTGCAGCGGCTCCTCTGCAGCTTCATAGCTCGGGTTCATAATGGCTGTCAGGTTCATAACGGCCATGTCAGGTTCATAATGGCCGGGTTGGGTTCATAACGGCTGTGTAATGTTCAGACACTGAGCAGCCACACAGATGTGAGGCATTATATAAATTATGCTTATTATGATCCTAGTTTAAATATACATTTATGAGAAATAAAGAAAAACATTCCGTGATGTTTTCCAGAGCTGTATTTTTGAATATGCCACTGATGTGAATTCCATGTAGCATACTTCTTATATTTACTATAAAATATATTTTCTCCAGGAAACCGGGTTTTGGGATGACAGTCTTGAGACCAGGTTTTGAGATCAGTGTATTGATTGAGACTTGGCTCCAGGAGACCGGTTTTAGGACTAGAGTCTTGAGGCCTTGTTTCAGGATCCGAGTCTTGAGATCAGGTTTCAGGATCCGAGTCTTGAGGCCGGGTTTCAGAATCCGAGTCTTGAGATCAGGTTTCAGGATCTGAGTCTTAAGGCCGGGTTTCAGGATCCGAGTTTTGAGATCAGGTTTCAACCACTGCCACCTTGGTAAGGAATTAGCCTTGGTTAAGTCTAGAATGATGCAGTTTCAGCTTTGGCCAAGACTAGGAGAGTGCCACCCCATTAATTATTTCTGATTTGAGGGCATGCAGCGATTAATAGATTTTTGTATGAAAGATCCATTCATATCAGGCGCATAATTTCACGGGTCAAATTATGTGTGCAAGAATGTATTATTAATGAATAATTTAAATTTTATTCATATTTAATTTAGGCTAATGGTGTGAATGTAATGCAAATGGTACAGAAAATAGACAATACAAATGAGACAGTAAAAAGCAGACAAAAAATATGAAATCCTTTCAATCAACTTTTGACCCTGGATTGTGAAAATTCATACAATTGTAGGAGGATGGAAGACATTAATTTATTTATGCTAACTGTTATTGCATTTTCAAAGCCTTGGCCTAGTTTAACCTAGTCTGTTCTCAGACCTTTAGCCTCACACTAGTTTATTTTAGCCTGCGTTCATCCTTGGCCTGGTCTAGGATAGTTCTGTTTCATCCTTGGCTTCATCCCCATTGAACTTGTTTTTCCTTCCAGGCTTTGAGCTGCAGTTCCGGCTGGGCCCAAGCCTGCAGGCCTTCCCTGTGACCGTCTACACAAACTACCCCGAGGAGGGGGCCGCGTTTGAGAGGGCCCGCTTCCGTGAGCTGCCATGGAAGCACACGGGAGTTGTGGGACAGTCGGACGCATTCTGCTCCATCAAGCCCCACATGTCCGGAACCTACGAGTTCCACTACGTCTACGGGTGAGACACGCGGAGCAGCTGCCTCGGTAGAGAGGCGACCAAGACTTAGATCCAAGACATTTGGTTTCTGAATCAGAGTCTTGATTGAGAATTGACTGCAGGGGAGACCATATTTCATAATACGAGTCTTGAGACCGGGTTTTAGGAGTCTTAATTGAGACTTTTCCCCAAGAGAGAGTGGATTTAAGGATCGAAGTCTTGAGACTGGGTTTTGGGATTTGAGTATAGATAGAGGATCAGAGCCTTAATTGAGACTGGGTTTGCGGATCGGAGTCTTGAAACTGGGTTTTGGGAACGGAGTCTCGACGGAGTCTGCATTCCGTGCTCGTTCCTTCCAGGGCGGGCGTGAAAGCGCGCGGTTACCTCATCGTCGACCCCGAGCTTGCGGTGGGGCCTAGCGACTCTCAGCGCACCCTGCCCCTCGACTGCATCGCCCTCCACACCGTTCTCGCCAAGTGCCTGGGCCCCTTCAGCCAATGGGAGCGCAGGCTGCAGGTCGCCAAGGAGACAGGTGAAGTCAGGGTTCACAGAGGGTCCCCATGGTTCAAGAGGTCATGATGAGCATTTAAAGGTAGACTCATCTCAAACATACGGATCTTCTCTTGTAGCCATTACATGAGTTTGCAGCTCTTCGGTGAAAAAAAACCCTTTTAAATTTATTTTAAGGTGCCCTCTCGTAATATGCATTTGGGTAAAGCCACTGGAACATGTCCGAAGGTCACTTTTAAAGTATTTTATTAATATTATGAGTCCAGGACGCGCAGGCTAAGTGTGTGGTTACTAGAGAAGAGACGTGTGATGGTTGGGTCATGTCTTCCTTTAATCTTTTCCACTGCCCTTCATTGTCTGTCTTCTGTTCAGTTTCCTACAATGCCCTCCTGTTTCTATCTCCGCATTCCATTGCCTTAAGTGGCCTTCACTGCCCTCCATTTTCTTCTAGGCCTGTCCTCTAAATGCACTCCAATGCCCAGCTTTGTTATTCACTGTTCTATACTCAATTTTCTCTGGTGCCCTCCCATATCTTTTCCCCCTGTCCAATGTCCTTCAGTGCTCGACTCTTCAGTGCGCTCCGGTGCCCCATTTCTACCCTCCCTCTCCCTCCAATGTCTCTCCAGTCGACACCTAACGATGCATCAGTTCATCCATTAGCATCCATTCTTAGGCTCACCATGAGCGCATTGATTCGTGCGTGTGTAAGAATCGATTATGTTTCACTTGTGTCTGTTGTGTCCAATGGGGGTCACATGACGTCTGCAGCCTCTAGAGGCCGCATCCTATTGAAATGTGAGCATTGGTGAATGATTACAAGTCTGCAATTAAATTCCCTTTCCTACTGCTTGCTGCCCCTCACTGCCCATCCACTCTGCTGCTGCCCCTCTCCCCCAGGCTACAACATGATCCACTTCACGCCACTGCAGGAGCTAGGCGAGTCGCGCTCGTGCTACTCGCTCGCCAACCAGCTCCGCCTGAACCCCGACTTCACGGAACTCGCGGCGACACCAGGATTACCTGGGTCACCAGGGTCAGCGGCCAAGGGGCACGCACCCAGCTGGGATGATGTAGGGACGCTCGTGGAGGCCATGAGGAGAGACTGGGGGGTCTTGAGCATCAGCGACGTCGTCTACAACCACACAGGTACGCCGGAGGACGCACGTGGGGGGGGGGGGGGGGAGATGGGGATGCAATGGGGACGTACGGGGAGAAGGGGACACGGGACCGAGAGTCACAGGCACGGGTGGGGGAGAGGGGGAGACACAGTGGGAGACCGGGAGACATGAGAGGGAGACACGTGGAGACACGTGGAGAAAAGGGAAAGACATGGGAAGGAGGAGACACAGAGGGAAGACATGGAGAGACACGGAGAGTAAATGAGAGCAAAAGGGAGGAGAGGGGAAGGCTCGGGGGTGAGCAGGGAGAGATGGCGGGAAGGGGAGAACAAAGCAGGAGGAGAAGACACAGGAAGGAGATGTGGACACGTGGGAAGAGATGGGGAGATGGAGAGGGGAGACACGGCGAGAGAGACTCGATGGTGAGCAGAGAGGAGAAAATAGTGGGGGAGACGCAGGGCGGAGGATGCGCACGTAGCGGAAGGTAGGCAACCGGAGTAGAAGAGACCCATGGGGAGAGAGGAGGCACAGGAGGAGGGAGAGAAGCAGAGAAGCAGAGATACGTGAAGTAGAAGGGGAAGACATGAGAAAACGAGAGATGCATGGAGAAAGGGAGACAAAGAGGGACACAGGAATTAGAAGGGCGACGAGGAGAGGAGAAGGGTGACAAGGAGAGGAGCAGGGAGACATGGGGAAGCATGTGGAGGTGCGGATACGTGGAGGGAGAGGGGAGGCACAGAGAGAAGCGAAGAGAAAATTTAGACACATTAGAGACATGGTTTGAAGACTGACATTTGCGAAGCACCTGAGATTTGACCCACGATTTAAAATAGCCGTGAAAATGTCACTCTAGACTACGCTTGAGCTAAAATTACCAGCGTTTAAAGATAGCACGGATCTGTGAGAGGGCGTGCGTGCGTGCGCGGCTGCGTCTGTGTGTGAGTGCGTAGTGTGTGAAGTTGCAAGAGTGTGTGTGGATGTATGAGTGCACTGTATTTGCGTGCAAGTATCTGGCTGTGCTTGTCTGCATGCATGCATGTCTTGTGTACGTGTGAGCACTTGTGTGTGAGTGTCTTTGTGTGCAGCGGTTAGTGCGTTGCGCTACAAACTCAGCTACATGAATTCGATTCCTGCTCACAGCCAACATCAGCGACTAATACCTGAATCAGTCTGGGGCCTTCCCTAGGTCGTCTCAGCCTTAAATTAGTACCTAATACTGCGTGTAAAGACATCACCACTGGGTGGGGGGTACAAAAGGCAGCTAAGCGGGGTTCTAGCCACACCACCCTCTCACGTTCCATGTTGGCCTTTATTGTTGCCCGCTAACAGCACTTTCCACAACAGCCCGTGTAGGCTATAACAGGGGATCTTTTTCTTTATCTTTGTGTAAGTTTATCTGTGTGTATGTCCGTGCATATGTACCTTACTTGATGTGCCCCTGGCCGTTTTTCTATTCGCTTTTAATGCTGCTACAATGCGTGCATGTGAAGCAAACGTGGGGGCAGCATTGGGCAGACTGGAAAAATGTGAACAGTGCCCCCTTCTTGGTTCTTTCGGTAAAGTCACGTAGAAGGGAAATAATAAAATAATAAAACATTTTTTTTATATTATATAAAAAGAAAAATGTTTATTGATTTATTATATAAGAATAATTATTTATTATTTTATTATTTCCCTTCTACGTGACTTTACCGAAAGAATCAAGAAGATGAATCCCTGCAGTCACGAAAGCTTTAAATCGAAAAGTGCCCGCTTAGTTTGGCATAAGAACTCCAGCGTGTGGTGCAGCAGGAGGAGGTGGTGGAACTTCACGCCTATCTCTCTATCGGACACGTGCGGGTGACTGGGGGAATAGCTGGCAGTGCTGTTAGTGGTGCCACAGGCAACTGGCGGAATTTTGAAATTGATAATGATGATAATGTAAATGATTTATGAATAAATGGCACGCACACATGCTCGTTAAAAAGCGTGAGTGCACACAAACATAAATGAGTTTGGTGAATACGCTTAGGTTTTTTCGGTAAAGTCACGTAGGTAAAAAAATTAAAATTAAAATAAATGAAATAATAATAGAAATAAAGTAATAAATCATTGATAAAAAATAAAATAAATAATAATAGAAATAAAATAATAAATCACTGACTTATTTTTTTACCTACGTGACTTTACCGAAAAAAACCTAAGAGTATGAATCCTTGCAGTCACGAAAGCTTCAAATCTAGAGTTTGGTGAACTTACACTGGGTACTTGAGCTCACTGCAGAAGCACTCACGAGTAAGAGCGAGTAAGCACAACAAAAGCTATATACTTAAGCGCTGCAGTTACACCTTGTTAAGCACTTTGGTAAGCATTGCCAATTGTACGCACTGTTAGGAGGGAGATGTGGAAGGGGAGCGGGAGAGATGCAAAGTAAAACGAAGACGTAGGAAGAAAGCAGAAGCATGGGGATGTTTTTTTGGAGCACTAGTTAGCGCTTGCGTAAGTATAAGCATTGCGATTTAAAGCTTTCGTGACTGCAGGGATTCATCTTCTTGGTTCTTTCGGTAAAGTCACGTAGAAGGGAAGTAATAAAATAATAAAAATAAAACATAATAAAATAATTCTCACGACGTTTCGGCCACAAGGCAAGCAACCGTTCAGACGCTGTCTCCCCGACAGACCTGGTTTTCACCTGAGGACGGCTGCTTGCGTTGTGGCCAAAACGTCGTGAGAATTATTTTATTATGTTTTATTTTTATTATTTTATTACTTCCCTTCTACGTGACTTTACCGAAAGAACCAAGAAGTATAAGCATTGCCTCAAGCATTCGTAGCATTATATGTTAGTATTGGTGACATCAATATAGTAATTAAAAGTAGCGGGCTCTCTTTCACAAACATTAGTAAGCTTGCTCGTATGCACAATGGCTGGCAGGAATTCATGGGTACCAAGTAGAACGAGCACGTGCAAGGCGCATCGAACCCGACAACCCGAGTTCGATTCCCGCTCACAGCCAACACCAGTGACGATTATTTGAACTGGTTCTGGGCCTCCCCTAGGTTGACTCAGCCTCAAATGAGTATCGGGTGCGGGGTGGAAACATCACCACTGGGGAGATAAAGGTGGCTGAGCGTGGTGTTGGCTACCCACCTCCTCGTGTGCCGTGCCGGCTTTCATAGGTGCTCGTTAACAGCACTTTTCACAGTCTGCTAAAGGCTATTTGGGAGTTTTTTTGTTTGTCATTCTTGCAGTATTTCTTCCTCTCCCGGTGTCGCTCCCTCTCTGTTGCTCTATCTCTCTCATTATTATTGTGTCAGGCTCTTAGCCCCTAAGACAGTGCCATGGAGGAACCTGGGTTCCAGCCCTGGGTCTGAGTGTCTTCTTTCCTGAGTGTGTGTGTCTCTCTCAGCAGATTCATCATGACTGTGTGAGGCTTGCAGCCCCTAAGACAGTGCTGTAGACGTGCTAGGTTCAAGCCCTCTCTCTGGGTTTCTCTCTCTCTGCTCCTCCTCTTCCTCTCCGCCCTCAGCCAGTAACAGTGACTGGATCCAAGATCATCCGGAGTGCGGATACAACCTCTTAAACTCCCCACACCTGCGCCCGGCATTTGTGCTCGACCGTGCGCTCTGGCACCTCTCCGTCGAGGTGGCCACCGGGGCCTGGACCAGGAAAGGCCTGCCGCCCTCCATCACCACCGATGCACACCTCCACGTGAGTGCGGCACTCATAACGTTCGCGTCGTGCTCATAATGGCCGAGTCGAGATGGCATCAGTGGAGGCGATGAGAGGCCGGGGTTTGAGCCATGGGCCTGGATTTTGTGTGTGTGCTCCTGTGTCTTTCTGTCTGGGTTCATAATGGCCATGTCAGGTTCATAGTGGTCGGTTTCAGGAGACACTGAGGCAGCACTGTTGAAGAACTGGGTTTAAACAATAGGTCTACGTGCTGCTACTGATGATGGTGATTATTTTAGTGATTATGACGATGATGGTAATATTGTTAATGGTAGTGATGGTGTTGATAATTTTTTTGTGATGTTAGTTTTTGTGATGATTACGATGATGATCCTAGTATCTATTGATGATGTTGACAGTGTTTTGAAGGGGTTGTTGATGGTGGTTGGTGGTGACAATTTTTTGGTGATAGTATTAATGGTGACGATGATGATGATGATGACGATGATGACGGTGTTGATGGTGTTGGTGGTATGTAGGCCATACGGGAGGTAATCTACGAGGACGTGTATCCGCGGATTAAGCTGTGGGAATTTTTCCAAGTCGACTACACCACTGCACTGGAGGCATTCGCCAAGAAAATCAGCGCAGGTAACTTCACCATAACCATCAGTACTATGGTTGCCACCATTACCATGGTGACCACCATTCTCATGGTCATCCTGGTTTCCACCATTACCATCGTGACCATGCACACCAGCATTTACAAGTTTTCACAGAAGGGGGCGGCAACAATTGCTTTGTTTAATCCCAATTGAGTATTGAGTAATTTGCGGCATAAGTTTAGAATTTGGTAAAGTTTGGACCCTGATGCAAGCACACAAGGGCCCATTCTTGCAAATGACGTCACAGAATATTCTAACATTCGTTGTGCAGCGTAGCTCTATTATGGTTAACACACTCCGGGCAGCTGCTGGATTCGAACCGTGAACGTCTGCAACAGGCAGCGAACGCGCCACTGCCGTGCCACGTCATCGCCCCGTGGTGATGCTCGCACCTTCCTGTCAACTGGTGCCGTGGTAGCGAAATGTTAACTACCTCGCCTGGTCTATAGGAGGTCGTGGGTTTCATCCCGATCCTGGCGCCTCTATATTTGGAGTTTGCGATGTCTCTCCCGGTGGTCGCGTGGATTTTTCTCTGGGTCCTCCCTCGATATTTAGAATCAACAGCTACACACCCGGGCTGTGTTGTCCTGGGCTATCCAACATGATGTAATGCTTTGTTAATGATAAATAAAGATGTTCACATAATAGCGAGGCAGGTGCTACCATAGCACTCTAAAGACATCACTGCATTTACGTTGCGTTAGAACTCACGGGAGTTACGCTGCAGTGAGCCATGATGATACGGTGAGCTGTCGTTTTTTTTTTTAATCATGAATGAAGCTTGAAACTCCTCATTGGAGAGCCTAGCTATGCATCTACAAAAGCTGTTTGCCATGTTTGGGCTTCATCTTCCTTTAAATACTTCACAGCCACTTGTAAATCTACTGCTGGATGCAGGCTGACCCACACTGTGTTGGTTATGGGGGAGTTTTACCGTACTTCACCGTGCTGGTCAGCGTGGGTTACAGTAAAGGGGATGGGCCCAGGACCGGTTCAGATACCCCTCGCCATTGACGTTAGCCATTGCTGGTAATTGAACTTGGGTCGCCGGGCTCAAGGGTGTAGCACATGAACCACTGTGCCACCAGCTTGAAAAACAATGTGTGCTTGTAAAAATGAATAAATAAATAACGTTATCACTCGCCCCACAAACTTGTTTAATTGGTTCCCAGAGCGAGCACCGCTATTTATATTACGTAAACCCCCAAGTGTGCCGCAGGCGCTGTGCCCCGACCTACATTGGCTCAGCATGGCCGACTGCCAGCGTGCGCCATGCGCGGTGACGTTGGCTGCAGTGCCGGCTCCCACAATGCACCATGCGTCTCGATGTCGTCGCGTCAACAGGTGACGTCCGACCGATCTCCTCGTGCCGTGGTGGCGAGATGTTAACTACCTCGCCTGGTATGCAGGAGGTCGTGGGTTCGATCCCGACCCTGAGAGATGTTAACTATTTCACCGAGTATACAAGAGGTCGTGGGTTCGATTCCGACCCTGACGCCTGTATATTTGGGAGTTTGTATGTTCTCCCCGTGGTTGCGCGGATCTTTCTCCGGATCCTCCGGTTTTTTCCTCCACATTTAGAATCAACATGCACTTAGAGTATTTGGCTGTTGTAAATTTCCACGTGATAAGCCATTTTATTGGGCTCTCATTTGTGGCCAGGTCGCTTTTGAAAAAGAGATATATAGCTCAGTGGGCCTTTCCTGGTAATATAAAACATAGTTAGTAGTTTGTAGTTTAACTGACACTGCCCTGTCCCCTGCCCGCTATCAGACAAGGGCATGAAGGTGGGCGGAGAGCACTCTGCGGAGGAGCTGAAGATCATCCAGGACCCCGCGTTCCGCCGCCTCGGCTGCACAGTTGACCTCAACCTGGCGCTCAAACTCTGCCCCCGCAGAAGGTCAGGGGCGTCAACTTCTCAATGGGTCATCACATCAAATATCAAACACATCTCAATTGAGGTTGTTTTCTGAGAACGGAAATCTTGATTCAGAATTTTGATTTAAATTACTATGGTAATTTCGATTTAAAGCTTTCGTGACTGCAGGGATTCATCTTCTTGGGTCTTTCGGTAAAGTCACGTAGAAGGGAAATAATAAAATAATAAAAATAAAACATAATAAAATAATTCTCACGACGCAAGCAGCCGTCCTCAGCTGCTTGCGTTGTGGCCGAAACGTCGTGAGAATTATTTTATTATGTTTTATTTTTATTATTTTATTATTTCCCTTCTACGTGACTTTACCGAAAGAACCAAGAAGATACTATGGTAATATTAATGATGATGTTGATGCGATGCTCGTGTTGATGTAGGCGATGAAAACTGGTCAGAAAATAATGATGTAATTCTTGTAATTATGGTGTTGATTGTGATGCTGATGTTAATTATCATGATGATGGTGGTGTTGATTTTTTTTTGACAGTGATGGTACTGTGAGTGATGACGGATGCCGTTGGCTGAGATCTCGCCTCGAGGCTTTGAACTCTGAGGCTCGGATTCTCGTGGAAAATCATCAAGCACAGGTGACCCTCTCCCTCCCTACCTCTCCATGTCTCTCTCGAATTCTCCCTCTCTGACGCTCCTCCGTCTTTCCCTGCGGGTTTAACGACACATTTATATATTTACGTGATCTAACCCAAAAAAAACTCTTATTAATTTTTCTCAGATGTCCGGTAGGTGCGGGTCAAAATTTTAGAACTGGTGACGTTGCTCGACCATTTCCACTATCCAACACAAATCTGTAGCTTTGGGAATTGTAATAAAAATACTCAAGTGACTTTCATACACACTTCAGAACTGGTATTGCGACGGGATTGCCGTGTAGTTTTAGTCAATGCAGCTGCCGTGCCGGTGTTGCTACCCGAGTTAGATTCCTGGCCACCGCTAACGTCAGCGGCCAGTGGCGTCTAAATAGGTCCTGGCGTCTCCCCTAGGTCGACTCGGCCTTAATTAAGTACCTGGTGCAGTGTGTAAACCTCAGCACTGGAGACAAAGCCAGCCGCGCATGGTCCTGACCACACCACCGCCTCGTGCTCCATGCCTATCTTCATATGTCCTGGCCAACAGCACTTGCCCCAGCAGTCTGTTAAAGGCTATACTGGGGGGGGGGGGAGGTCTGCGTGTGCGTGTTTACATGAAGTGTATATATTGATGAGTGTGTGTGTATTGTCATCACTAGTTATGGTCTATCCACTGCTGAAGACATATGTACGTGTGTCTCTGTGTGTGTGTGCATGTTCGCATCCCTCCCCACCCTCCCGCCCAGGCGGTGAACTGCATCTTGGGAACCGTTCGGTACGAGCGAATTGCGGAGCAGGGCCCCAAGCTCGGAGCCATCACACGCAAGCACCCGCTCGTGACCCAGTGAGTCCCCTACTCGGCCTGCTCCTCGGCAGCCTCTTCACGAGCCCTCTACCCTGCCTCTCCCCACTCCCCCCCCCCACAGATCTTTTAATCAGCCGGTAAATCAACCCTTCAATCAGCCCTCCAATTAGTTTTTTAATGTATTCTTTATCCTGCTCTTTAACCATCACCATCATCATCAGTCAGTGATGATCTATCTGCTGCTGGATGAAGCTGTCGCCACCACCGCCATCCCTCGTGGACCCCTCAATGCAATGATCTGTCCAGCACCTGGACACAAGGCGATCTCTTAGCTCCATCTCGGCCGGGTGACGTCTCACCTCGGGCGTATTTCCGTCCTTCATCTGCCACTCCGTTATTCGTCTCGCCCGCCGGCCATCGTCCTACCCAAGCCCCCACACTCACTTTGTTTAACAGTTAAACATTACCTCTTTATCCTTCGTATGTTCTCGTAATCCTGTCTCTCTGTGCAATTCCAAGCATGCATCTCTCCCCTGGCTTCTTTGCGCACTTTTCAAGTTTTCCTTCCATTTTCTTTGGTGGTGTCCATGTGTTTCTGATCCACGTTGTATAAACCATCATGCAAACTCTGGTCATCCTCGCAGTGGCTTTTGGCGAGCCATTGAACCCTTTCAGGTGCTCTTCTGTGGCCGTCTGGAACGCACTTCGTTCCAATCATAGGAAGCCACTGGAGCCTTGCACATAAATCATCTAAATTTAAAACTCATTTCTTGACAACTGATTTTTGTCCTTAGTTTGTTGTCCTTTCCTGCACCTCCGATTAGCACGGTTGGCTATGCACAGTGCGAAAGAAGTTCTACATACATTTATACATCAGGTGTTACCCACTGCCTCGTAACTTCCTTCTTTCGCCACGTTGTTGCGTTGGTTTTCATCCGACCCTCGTCAAATTCTAAAGTCGGAGGAGTGGCGCGGGGCAGCGCTCGTTTCGGTGTTTTTCGGAGGCACCTCGGTGGCTGCTGGAAATTCCACGTTCCTATGACCTGTGCTGCAGGTACTTCATGTTCCCGATGAAGGACGAGTTTCTGCTGGGGGAGGAGGAGGAGATGATGTTCGACCCCAAAAAATCGTGCCGCTTCCTCGCCTTCAACGGCTGGGTCATGGGCGACGACCCCCTCCGCAACTTTGCTGAGCCAGGTAAGGGGAGACAAGAAAGACAAAGATCCCCGGCATAGCCTCAAACAGACTGTTAGAGCAAGTGCTGTTAGCGAGCACCTATGAATGCCAGCATGGCACATGAGGGGGTGGGTGGGCCAACACCGTGCATGGCTACCTTTGTCTCCTGAGTGGAGAAGTTTACACACCGTACCACGTACTCATTTGAGGCTGAATCGACCTTAGGGAGGCCCAGGACTGGTTCAGATAATCGTCACTCGTGTTGGCCGTGAGCGGGAATCGAACCCGGATGGCCAGGTTCGTAGCGCAGTGCGTTAACTGCTACACTACAGACAAGACGGATAAACTGAAAGACAGACGGACATGAGTGTGGACCCACTCAGATACTTTGCTAAACCAGGTAAGCAGAGAGACAAAAATAGATATACACACTGATAGACACACGGGCAGACAGGAAGATGAACAGACACAGACAGAGACACAGACAGAGACACAGACAGAGACACAGACAGAGACACAGACAGAGACACAGACAGAGACACAGACAGAGACACAGACTGATCGTCTGCACACAAACAAACAAACAGACCACCCTACATCTCCTTTCTCTTCACTGTATCTCCATTCTCCCCCCCCCCCCCCCCCGTGCATCCCTCCTCCTCCCCGTGTGTCCCTCCTCTTGCCGCGGGTCCGTCACCCCCAGGCTCTAACGTGTACATCAGACGGGAGCTTGTTTGCTGGGGTGACAGCGTGAAGCTGCGCTACGGACGCGGCCCCAGCGACTGCCCCTTCCTGTGGGCGCACATGCGCGCGTACACGGAGCTCACGGCCAAAATCTTCCATGGCATGAGGCTCGACAACTGCCACTCGACTCCCCTACATGTCGCAGAGGTGAGGGGGAGCAAGGAGGCGCGGGGAGGACCAGGGACGCATGGGGGAAGAGGAAGCGAGTAGGAGGAGAGAGATGAATAGAGATACAGGGAGGTGGAGGGACACAGGGAGGTGAAGTGATACACAGGGAATTGAATGGATACATTAGGAGCAGAAAGAGAGAAGGGAGTTGAATGAAGACATAATGACGAGGTGGGAGACAGGCAAGAATGAGGAGAGTGGGGATGGATTATCCAAGGCAGTGAAGGTAAAATGTAGAGGAAAAGGGGACCCAAGAAAGAAGGAGACATGGGAAGGAGGAGGGAGACATGAAGAGGTGATGGGAGAAACTGACTAGAACAGAGACATGAAGAGAATTGATACATAGGGAGTAGGAGGGAGACGGAGAGGTGAAGCGATGGACGAGGGAGATAGGGGGAGGAGTAAGAGGCATCCAGAGAGAAGCAACATAAGGAGGATAAATTATGAGCATGGCAAAAGACTATAAAAGAGAAGCAGAGACACAAGGAGGTGAAAGGAGATGCATGGAGGCAAAGGAAGACACGGGGTGTAGAAGGGAGGTACATTTATCTAAATGTGTTGTTCTTAGGTCTCAGTTTGTAATGGATGTATGCTGTGACTTTGACCCTACCCGCTTCCCCATGTGTCTGCACGTGTCTCCGCGCTTGTCTCCCCACGTCTGTGTGTGACTCAGTACATGATGGACGCGGCCCGCACCGTCCGCTCGGATCTCTTCCTCCTGGCCGAGCTCTTCACCGGCAGTGAGGACCTCGATAACGTCTTCGTCACGAGACTCGGCATCACATCCCTTGTCCGAGGTGAAGGGACACACGTGGGGGAGGGGGACACACGTGGGGGAGGAGAGACACGCGGGGAGGGGGAGAGACACACGTGGGGGAGGAGAGACACGTGGGGGAGGAGAGAGACACATGGGGAGGAGGAGAGACACGCGGGGAGGGGGAGAGACACACGTGGGGGAGGAGAGACACGTGGGGGAGGAGAGAGACACATGGGGAGGAGGAGAGACACGCGGGGAGGGGGAGAGACACACGTGGGGGAGGAGAGACACGTGGGGGAGGAGAGAGACACATGGGGAGGAGGAGAGACACGCGGGGAGGGGGAGAGACACACGTGGGGGAGGAGAGACACGTGGGGGAGGAGAGAGACACATGGGGAGGAGGAGAGACACGCGGGGAGGGGGAGAGACACACGTGGGGGAGGAGAGACACGTGGGGGAGGAGAGAGACACATGGGGAGGAGGAGAGACACGCGGGGAGGGGGAGAGACACACGTGGGGGAGGAGAGACACGTGGGGGAGGAGAGAGACACATGGGGAGGAGGAGAGACACGCGGGGAGGGGGAGAGACACACGTGGGGGAGGAGAGACACGTGGGGGAGGAGAGAGACACATGGGGAGGAGGAGAGACACGCGGGGAGGGGGAGAGACACACGTGGGGGAGGAGAGACACGTGGGGGAGGAGAGAGACACATGGGGAGGAGGAGAGACACGCGGGGGAGGAGAGAGACACACGTGGGGGAGGAGAGACACGTGGGGGAGGAGAGAGACACATGGGGAGGAGGAAGGACACAAGGGAGTCCATACTCTCTGGGTTTTTCGGTAAAGTCACGTAGATAGGTTCAAAGAAAGTAACAAACCTATCTACGTGACTTTACCGACAGACTCGGAGAGTATTAATTCCTGCAGTCACGAAAGCTTTAAGTCAAGACACAAGGGGAGGTGAAGGGACACTCGGGCAGGAGGGGGGGACACATGGGGGAGGAAGGACAAACATGGGAGGGAGGAGGAGGGAAACACGGGAGAGGAGGAGGAGGAGGAGGGAAACACGGGAGAGGAGAAAGGTGACACTGGGAGAATAATGGAGACGTAGGAAGGTGAATGGCAACACGGTAAGGAAAAGAGAGCCACAAGGAGGAGTAAGAGAAGCATGTAGAGAAGGGAGACAATGGACGACTAATGAAGATTAAGGGAGATACTTGTAGGAGACAGAAAGTTAAAGGGGGACACGGGGAGGTAACCGTGAACACAAATTCATGGGAGATGAGATGTGAATGAAGACAAAATAATGTAGGACAACTCGGCATGTCAAAGGACTCTTGGGCAAGTGAGAGATGCGGGGGAGGTTATAGGCCAGGCTGAGAGACACGCGGAGGAGAGGGGAGCCCCGTGGACTTTAACTGTGCCACCGTTACGCGAGTCACTGAGATGCCTCTTCTTGGTTCTTTCGGTAAAGTCACGTAGAATGGAAATAATAAAATAATCAAAATAAAACATAATAAAATAATTCTCACGTTTCGGCCACAACGCAAGCAGCCGTCCTCAGGTGGAGAACAGGTCTGTCGAGAAGACAGCGTCTGAATGACACACCCCAGTCTTGGAGCGTCTATTTAAGCTGGGATGGAGGGGGGAAGAGCGCCTTGACAAAATAATTTGCATATCAAGAGGAATTTAGCATATTTATGGAAAATGCAGGTATGCGATTAGTACTACTTGTGAAATGCGTAGGAGGTGGGCGGGGGGTTTTAAAGTCATGTTATGCCCGTGCATTATGTGTCGACACAGAGGCCTTGAGCGCCGGCAACAGCCACGAGGAGGGCCGCCTCGTCTACCGCTACGGCGGCGACCCCGTGGGCTCCTTCATCCAGCCGGGGTTCCGCCCGCTCACCCCCGGCATTGCCCACGCCGTCTTCATGGACATCACCCACGACAACGAGTGCCCCATCCAGGTGCCCGGGCTCCCACGTCCCTCCAGCCAGACCAAGACCGGGATTCGGGGTCAGAGTCTCCATTGAGACTTTTCTATGAGACTCAAACCGAATTTCGATTTAAAGCTTTTGTGACTGCAGGGATTCATCTTCTTGGTTCTTTCGGTAAAGTCACGTAGAATGGAAATAATAAAATAAAACATAATTAAATAATTCTCGTGACATTTCGGCCACAACGCAAGCAGCCGTCCTCAGCTGGAGAACAGGTCTGTCGAGAAGACAGACAGACTCTGACAGACTCTGTCTTCTCGACAGACCTGTTCTCCACCTGAGGACAGCTGCTTGCGTTGTGGCCGAAACGTCGTGAGAATGATTTTATTATGTTTTATTTTTATTATTTTATTATTTCCATTCTACGTGACTTTACCGAAAGAACCAAGAAGAAGACTCAGACTGGGCTGAAATGTCAGTCTTTTTGAGACTCTTAAAAACCAGGTTTCATCATCAGTCGTTATTGAGACTCCCAGGCTTAAATATTGGAGTCTTGATTTGGACGTGTCACCATATGTATGTCCTTATGTGTCTCCTCGTATCTTCCTGTGTGCCCATGTGTAACCCCTTGTGTCCTTCCCTGCTCCGGTGTATCCCCACGTGTCCCCGTGCGCGTCCCCGTGCGCGTCTGCGACACAGCTGCGCTCCGTCTACGACTCGTTTGCCAGCGCTGCTATTGTCGCCATGGCCAACTGTGCCACTGGGAGCACGAGGGGCTACGACGAGCTGATCCCCCACCAGGTGAGCGAGTGGGCAGCACAGCAAGTAGGATGTTGCCTACGAGCATCTGCCTGTGTCAAACGTGTTTTCCCCTCTTGCTATGCACGGTGGGCTTTCTCCGAGCACTCTCGATTCCTCCCACAGGGAACGGAGAGAGACGGTGCTCTGCTTTAATTCATGTCAAGTTGCTGCTTCGTTGAACTTGTATGTCAACTAACTAAAATGTCGTGGTATATAAACGAACTCGAAGCTAACTTAACACGTAGGCTTTCTCGACCAATATCATCCATAAGAGGGTTTTTTTGGGTTAGATCACGTAAATATATAAATGTGTCGTTAAAACCCGCCACCACCCGACACAGCCAACTAGTAAGGGTTGTCACGTAAACAGAACATGCCAATTCGTCACTAGTACAGCACGCCGGTGTGTTGGAGAGCCAAGCCACAACATTTACAATCTGAGTACGACGTTTTGCCAGTAATTTCAACTAGCTTCATCAGGCAACAGCAAGTTTTGGCTGTGCTGTACTAGTGATGAATTGGCACGTTCTGTTTACGTGACAACCCTGACTAGTTTGCTGTGTCTGGTGGTGGAGGGTTTAACGACACATTTATATATTTACGCGATCTAACCAAAAAAAACCTCTATGTATCAAAGCTAACTTATAGCATCATTGTACATAAACTAACAGCTTTATTTAAACTCTCACTGAGATCAGAAGATCGCCCATCTGCGGGAACCGTTGAGTTTCGCAGAGACAACATCGTATATAGTGTCGGCTGGGCGGGTTGGTGGATTCACTGAACAGCAATGAGTTGTAAATGTTTGAAAATGTTTGAATACGCGCTATGGGTAAAAATGCCGATTGAGTTTTCTGATTGAATCAGAATCAGAATATTTATTCATATTGGAGGAATCCGACGAACTGTAAAGCTCATGACTGTCGCTAGGCACGTCCAACCTGGCCATTGTGAGCCTGCCCGAGCACGCACATATGCGTGTTTGTAAGGAGCGGTGGCTCAGTGGTGAGTACACTGCACTACAAACCCGGTGACCTGAGTTTGATTCTCGCTCACGGCTGATATTGGCGGCGAAGATTTGAACCGGATCCTGGGAAAAGGCAGCGGGCGTGACGCTGGCCACCCACCCCCAAGTTTGTTGTGCCGGCCTTTATAGATTATTGCGAACAGCACTTGCTCCTACAGTCTGTTAAAGCTGTACGGGTGGTCATTGTCTTCGTTGCAGGTGTCAGTGGTGTCGGAGGAGCGGCTGTACGCGTCGTGGGAGGCCGGGTGTGACCCCTGCTCCCCCGGGACTGTGGGCTTTCACTCGGGGATCCTGGCTGGGAAGCTGGCTCTGAATCAGCTACACAACCAGCTCGGGCTTCACAGCTTCTCCCAGGTACCGCGCGCGCTCAGCCACTGCGTGCAGTGTGTTCATGGCCCCTGTGAACGTCCAACACTGGGTGAAGGGCTTCCCATGCCTGGACTTCCTGTGGTAAGGGAGTTCCATCCGGACAACTGGGGATAGCCAATGGAGAATGAGCGACCTCTCGGAGAAAATGTGGATTGGGGGCTTAAGTTTCAAACAACACGCAAACACACGTCAAGAGCGCACGCACGCGCAGCCACTGTGGATTACGCAGAAACCATCGGCCTTCTCCTCTCCGTATCTGTCCCCATGTGTCTCCCTCTCCTCCTCCCCGTGTGTCTTCGTGTCTCTTCTACCCCTCCCCACGTGTCTCCCCCTCATCCTCCTCCCCGTGTGTCTTCGTGTCTCTCCTACCCCTCCCCACGTGTCTCCCCCTCATCCTCCTCCACGTGTGTCCGCGTCTCCTCCCCCAGGTATACGTAGACCAGGTGGATGCGGACATCGTGTCGGTGACGCGGCACTGTCCGCACACGCACCAGTCGGTGGTGTCAGTGGCGCGCACGGCGTTCCGCGACCCCGAGAGTGCGCACTACCCCCGCGACGTGCCCTCCATGTGCATCCCGGGTGAGCCACCCTGCTCCTCCGTATGATGACAATGATGACCATGATTACGGTGTTCATGTGAATAATGATAATGATGATGGTGATTGTGGTAATGGTGATGGTCATGATCACGGGTTGGCAATCAAAAGAACAAGAAGAAAATGTTTTTTTGAATAAGGTAAAAACAACTTCAATATTTAAAGAACCGCAATGCACTTAAATAACGTCATGGAGCAGTCCTTGAAGAGCCACATGCAGCTCCGGAGCTCCAGGTTGCCGACCCATGGTCACGATAATGGTGGTGAGGATGATATTGATGATGATGATGATTGTGGTGGTGATAGTAAGGATGGTGATGATGATGATAACTATCGTGGTGCTGATGGTCATGTTGATATTGAATGTGGTAACAATAATGTTGGTGTTATTGTGTTCATAATGCTACTGCTGCTGTTGAGGCTGCTGTTTATGATGTGTTGCTGCTGCAAATGGTCATGATTATGATATTGCTGCTGATGTCTATGATGCTGCTGCTTATGATTGTGCTGTAGATATTTATGATTATACTGCTGCTGATATTTATGCTACTGCTGCTGCTGTTGTCAACGACGGTGCTGCTGATACTGATGATGACGTTGCCGGGGAGGGTGTTCCTGGGAGCAGGTAAGATCGAGGAGATCGTGCTGGAGGCTCGCACCGTCACTCGCAAGGGCTCCGAGTTCATTAAGAGTAACAAATTCATCAATGGCCTCCTCCGCTACACGGTGGACATCACCCAGCACATCCAGGTGACGGCTCCACGGCACGGCGCACGAGGTCAGGGTCCTCGGTGCCCCGCAAGGAGACAGAGATTGAGACGAGGGAGGTTCAATTTCGATTTAAAGCTTTCGTGACTGCAGGGATTCATCTTCTTGGTTCTTTCGGTAAAGTCACGTAGAATGGAAATAATAATTATTATGTTTTATTATTATTTTATTATTTCCATTCTACATGACTTTACCGAAAGAACCAAGAAGATGAGGGAGGTTCTCCGGTGCGTTTCCAGTCGGTTTTTTAGGTCTTGCATTCGTCTCAAAAGTGCCTCTTTCCGACAGACCTGTTCTTCACCTGAGAACGGCTGCTTGCGTTGTGGCCGAAACGTCGTGAGAATTGTATTTTATTATGTTTTATTTGTATTATTTTATTATTTCCCTTCTACAGTGACTTTACCGAAAGAACCAAGAAGAGGTATAGGGAGGTTCACAAGGTAACTCGAGGTTCTTTAGTACATCGACTGGGTCATCCAAGTCTTTGATTGGGTCCATTGGTCCTTTATGCTCTTTGTGGAGGACTACAGGTTCCTTTGTAGATGTAGGCTATTCTCAAAGCCATCCAGCAGATCCAGGAGGACCTCATTGTTCTACAGGAAGTCGAGGATATATTTTTATTCCTTGAGTGATCTAGAGACGTATAGGGCCCTCGGGAGCCCTTCAGTAGATCTAATGGCGCCTTAAGTTTTCTTTTCAGAGAACTTTATCCACCAGCAGGCTCATAGTGGCCTCAAGGTCATCCAGGTACAATTGGATGTCCTCCAGTGGTCCAGGAGGTAAGGAATGTCCACCAAAAGGTATAGGAGGGTCTCCAGGAGGTCTTTGTGTGTTCCAAGCTTGCTGCCTCCAGACATTCCACTGGGTTGCCACGACCACTTAACATGGCTCTCAATGGTTTTATTGGCTTCATTTATCTAAGATCTGCTGAAGCTACACGAACCAATCAGGAGCCCTTCGCTAAAAACCCCGCGTGAAGCCAGCGGCTCCAGGGAGCCCGCCACGGTGAGGTGGTGTTGCGTCGTGTAAATGCGCATCGTCCGAGACTCCGGACCGCGCTGCCTGCATCGCCGCCTTCATCCCGCACCTCCTATGAGCACGCTTGGCTACGTATGTGGTGAAAGGAATTCTACATACATGCAGGCTTCTGATTTGCCGTCATTCCGTAACCCACCCTGAGGGTCGGTTGACATGTGGGGCGGATTATGAGAATGAATGATTACGTCATCATCGACATTATTTTATTTTGTAATTATGATTATCCCCCCCCCTGACCCTGTGCTCCCTGTGTCCATGTCCCATGGGCGAGCAGCTCAAAGAGAGCGAGATGGTGGAGCTCTCCCAGGCTGGCTCGGGCAAGGGTGGCGCCTACGTGCAGGAGATAGAGTTCGTCACCTTCCCTCCTGGCAGCGTCATCGTTTTCAGGTTCGGTGGGGACACGGGGCGGGGGGGAACCTTCAGGGAGTGGGAGACACAGACGCGGGGAGACACGGAGAATTTATATTTACGCTCTCTAACCAAAAAACCCCCCTCTATTATAGATAATATTAGTCGCGAAAGCCTATGTGTTAAACATGATGGAGAATGACTGAAACTGTGAGATGTGAGGAGAGACACGGGGGAGACGTAGTGTGAGAGAGAGACATGGGGAAGAGAGAGAGGGAGAGATAGTTGCAGAGAAATATGGAGACACACAGATATGGGGGAGAGGGAGACATATACGCAGGAAGATACAGTGAGGGAGAGAGAGAGAAACACAGGGAGAGCAGGAGATAGAGGGAGAATCACCGAGAGAGATCAGTGGAGATAACAGAAACTTGGAGGGTGACAGAGGACACAGTCATTATGGAAGACAGAGAGAAAGCGAATCATAGATAGAGACATGAAGAGAAACCGAGAGACATGGAGAGAAAGAGACATAGAGAGAGAGACACACAGGGACAGTCACAAAGATAGAGAAACAGGGAGGGAGATACATGAGAATTCACACAGAGACATGGAGAGAAAGAGACATAGAGAGAGAGAGACACACAGGGACAGTCACAAAGATAGAGAAACAGAGACATGGAGAGATGAAAAGAGAGTGTAATTGAACCTTACCCCACCCCCCGACTCCTCACCTCTTACCCATCTCACCCTTCAGGGTGAGTCTGGACCCTGAGGCCCAGGCGGCCGTCTCGTCTCTGCGCGCTCACCTCGTGCAGTTCAGCCCGCACTTCCGCAAGGGAAGTTCCAGTCCCGTTGAAGGTCACCCACCCTTGACGGCCATGAACTTCAGCGCGTGAGTCTGCACATTGCACGTGAATGACACCCACGGTGGCGAGATGTTAACTACCTCGTCTGGTATACGGGAGGTTGTGGGTTCGATCCCGACCCTGATACCTGTATATTTGGAGTTTGCATGTTCTCCCCATGATCACGTGGATTTTTCTCCGGGTCCTCCGGCTCCCCCCCCCCCCCCCCCCCCACATTAAAAAACACACTTCTGAAAAAGAGCTATGTAGCTGAGTGGGCCTTACCTAGTCAAATAAAACAGAGTTTAGTTTTGCGTTTAGGGAGGTGCACGCAGAGTCCGTGTGGTTTCTGGCCTCTGACACGCAAGTCTAAGGCTTTGCTAACAAGAACAAAAATACTTTAAAGCCACTTTCATGCGCGCTGCAGCAATGACACTATGACTTGACTACGCGCTTTTTAAAAACGTTTCTCAATTTAATTTCGATTCTGTGGTCGCTATCGTCATCCTGATGGCATGATGAGTGTGCCCCCCTCATATCAGAGATCTCTTTGATTGACCATTAGGGGACAACAGCACAAACCCTAGCTGCCCTGCCAAAGTCAAACCCAATATTTGTAATTTCTCAGAGCTGGAAATGAGCCAAATCAAAACTGAAGCAAAACGAATATGATGGTTTTTTGTGCATCGGTGCCTGGACTGAGACCATCATCAACGCACTACAGTCGAGCACCCAGTTTAATCACAAGTGGTTGCCTGGAATTGAACCCAAGGTAGTCAGTAGTGCTATTTCAGCACTCTCACCTCTGAGCCATCTGGCCACCAGTCCCCCCCAAACCCCCCCCCCTCATTGTAATTGAGTTGAATCTCAATCACGACTCCAGTCCTTAAGTCCAGATCTTCTGCAGCCGAGTCTCAGTCTCAGAGTCTTTTGGTACCGAGACCCATCGTCGCGGAGCCAAGTTTCGATTTTAAGAATGTTTTCCTGTCTCCCCTCCCCCATCTTCCCCGTGCACGTCTCAAGCCTCGTGTCTCAGCTGTCCCTGGCCGACATGAACATCCTCCTGTACCGCTGTGACGCCGAGGAGAAGGAGGATGGAGGCGGCGTCTACAACGTCCCCGGGATTGGGGGCCTCACCTACTCTGGCCTGCAAGGTTAGGGGGTGCAGATTTTTTATATATATATGTCATGTTTTATATTGTGGTAAGCATGCAAGCGGAATAGGATAAGCAATATCGTATGTTTGGAATAGAAAGTGACGGGAAGGAAAGTGTTGAGTAGATTTCGATTTAAAGATTTCGTGACTGCAGGGATTCATCTTCTTGGTTCTTTCGGTAAAGTCACGTGACTTTACCGAAAGAACCAAGAAGATGTTGAGTAGATGTATCAGGAAGAGTAAGTTGTGATGGGTGGACACTTGTGCAGAATTGGGTAGGGTTAGGTTTCCACGGTACCTGGCATTGGAGTTGCACCCAGAGGTCAGTAACCATAACCACTGTCATTGCCACTACCCACACGCTCACCACTAACAGCATCACGATCACTACCACCACTATCATTGCCATTACTGCTGCTGACACCACCACCATCACCAATATTGCCTTCATCACCATTATCTTTATCACCACCACCATCACACTGTGTTAACGCTACTCTCTATCTCTCCGTGTCCCCCCAGGCTTTATGTCCGTCCTGTCTGAGATTCGTTCGCGGAATGACCTCGGCCACCCATTCTGTGACAACCTCCGTGCGGGTGACTGGATGCTGGACTACGTCAGTGGACGACTCCTGTCCAAGGACGGGCCCCTCGTCGAGGTGAATGAGCGGGCACTGTTTGGTTCATTTATGGCCAATCGGGAACTCCGATATTGACTGTCGCCCCCTTCTTCAGTGACCTTTGCCCTCTTGTTTCCCTGTGTTTCTGTGTATATCTCCATGTCACTGCACACTTCATGTCTCTCCGTGTGTCCCTGTGTGACTCCGCGTCACTATGTCTCTGCGTGTCTCAGGGTGTCTGTGTCTCACCTTGTCCCGCCGTATTTAAAATTGAAAACTATTTTTTTAAGAACTGATTATTGTGCGTAGATTGTTATCCTTTCCCCGCACCTCCGATTAGCATGATTAGCTATGTACGGTCGCCAACATACATAGTTACATGTCTCTGCGTGTCTCTGCTAGGTGGGACGCTGGTTCCAGACGATGTTTGCGCTACTGAGGAGGATCCCGCGGTACCTGGTCCCATGCTACTTTGACGCCATCATGCTGGGGGCCTACACCACAACGCTGGACACCGTGTGGGAGAAGATGTCTCCGTACGGATCACACAGATACTCGCACACAGAGACAAAGATCCCTTAACAGCCGAAACATTCTGTTGGGGAAAGGGCTGTTAGCGAGTAGCACCTATGAAGGTCAGCACGGCACACGAGGGGGTGGGTGTCCAGCACCACGCCCGGCCACCTTTGTCTCCCCAGTGGCGATGTTTACATACCACATCAAGTACTCATTCGAGGCTGAGTCAGAAACCATTTGGATAATCTTCAATGGTGTTGGCCATGAGCGGCAATCGAACTCTGGTTGCCCGGGGTTCGTAACGCAGCATGCTTAACACTCCACCACCGCTCCCCATCCTGACATGCAGACACTCACGCAGACACTCACTCACGCACTCACTCACACACTCACTCACACACTCACGCAGACACACACTCACGCAGACACTCACCCACTCACACACTAACTCACACACTCACTCACACACTCACACACTCACTCACACACTCACTCACACACTCACACACTAACTCACACACTCACACACACACACTCACGCAGACACTCATACACTCACTCACACACTCACTCACACACTCACACACTCACTCACACAGACACTCACTCACTCACTCACACACTCACTCACACACTCACACACTCACACACACACACTCACGCAGACACTCACACACTCACTCACACACTCACTCACACACTCACACACTAACTCACACACTCACTCACACACACACTCACGCAGACACTCATACACTCACTCACACACTCATACACTCACTCACACACTCACTCACAGACACTCACACACTCACTCACACACTCACACACTCACACTCACTCACACACTCACACACTCACTCACTCACACACTCACACACACACACACTCACTCACGCACTCATTTACAGCCATTACTAACCTGACCCGGCTACGATACAGCTGAGCGGTACCATGGTGCGTGCACGTGCAGCTTCGTCAAGCAGGGCTCGTCGTTCGTGCGGGAGCTCGCCCTGGGCTCCGTGCAGCTCTGCGGCATTGGCCGCGTCCCCGCGCTGCCGCCGCTGTCCCCGCTGCTCGGGGACGTCCCCACGCGCACGCAGGCGGACACGGGGAGACGGGAGCAGTGCTGCATCTCCATCGCCGCAGGTGAGATGCACGGAGACATGGGGTGGGGACGGGGGAGACAAGCAGCGGGTCACAGACATTTGGATACATTGTTACGTGCAACAGAGAGACGGACTGATTAATAGGTGGACACGGAGTCATCTCCCTGTATGTATCTCCCCATGGACATCTGTGAAAAAAGAGCTTCATAGCTCATCGGATTCCTCCAGTCTGAATAAAGATCCTGATGTCTCTGTCCTCATCTATTATTACGTCTCCCTCCTCCTCCCGTGTCTCCCTCCTCCTCCCCGTGTCTCCCTCCTCCCCCCGTGTCTCCCTCCCCCCCCCCGTGTCTCCCTCCCCCCCCCGTGTCTCCCCCCCCCCCCGTGTCTCCCCCCCCCCCGTGTCTCCCCCCCCCCCGTGTCTCCCCCCCCCCGTGTCTCCCTCCTCCTCCCGTGTCTCCCCCCCCCCCGTGTCTCCCCTCCTCCTCCCCGTGTCTCCCCCTTCCTCCCTCCCCGTGTCTCCCTCCGCCTCCCCGTGTCTCCCTCTTCCTCCCGTGTCTCCCCCCCCCCGTCTCCCTCCTCCTCCCCGTGTCTCCCTCCTCCTCCCCGTGTCTCCTCCTCCTCCCCGTGTCTCCCTCCTCCTCCCCGTGTCTCCCGACTCCCCCCACCTGCCATGTCTCCCTCCTCCTCCCCGTGTCTCCCTCCCCCCCCCCGTGTCTCCCCTCCTCCTCCCTGTGTCTCCCCGACTCCCCCCCACCTGCCATGTCTCCCTCCTCCTCCCCGTGTCTCCCCCCCCCCCCCCGTGTCTCCCCCCCCCCCGTGTCTCCCTCCTCCTCCCCGTGTTCTCCCCCCCCCCCGTGTCTCCCTCCACCTCCCCGTGTCTCCCTCTCCCTCCCCGTGTCTCCCTCCTCCTCCCCGTGTCTCCCCCCCCCCCCGTGTCTCCCTCCTCCCCCCGTGTCTCCTCCCCCCCCCGTGTCTCCCTCCTCCTCCTCGTGTCTCCCCCCCCCCGTGTCTCCTCCCCCCCCCGTGTCTCACTCCTCTCCCCCGTGTCTCCCTCCCCCCCATGTCTCCCTCCTCCCCCCGTGTCTCCCTCCCCCCCAGGGTCTCCCTCCTCCCCCCGTGTCTCCCTCCCCCCCGTGTCTCCCTCCCCCCCCCGTGTCTCCCTCCTGTCCCCCCGTGTCTCCCTCCTCCCCCCCGTGTCTCCCTCCTGCCCCCCCGTGTCTCGCTCCTCTCCTCCCCCCGTGTCTCACTCCTCCCCCCGTGTCTCACTCCTCCCCCCGTGTCTCCCTCCTCCCCCCGTGTCTCCCTCCCCCCCCCCGTGTCTCCCTCCTCCCCCCGTGTCTCTCCTCCCCCCGTGTCTCCCTCCTCCCCCCGTGTCTCCCTCCTCCTCCCCGTGTCTCCCTCCTCCCCCCCGTGTCTCCTCCTCCCCCCGTGTCTCCCTCCTCCCCCCGTGTCTCCCTCCTCCCCCCGTGTCTCCCTCCTCCTCCCCCGTGTCTCCCTCCTCCCCCCGTGTCTCTCCTCCCCCCGTGTCTCTCCTCCCCCCGTGTCTCTCCTCCCCCCGTGTCCCTCCTCCCCCCGTGTCTCCCCTCCCCCCGTGTCTCCCTCCTCCTCCCCGTGTCTCCCTCCCCCCCCGTGTCTCCCTCCCCCCCCGTGTCTCCCTCCTCCCCCGTGTCTCCCTCCCCCCCGTGTCTCCCTCCTCCCCCCGTGTCCTCCCTCCTCCCCCCGTGTCTCCCTCCTCCCCCCGGTCTCCCTCCCTCCCCCCCCGTGTCTCCCTCCCCCTCCCCGTGTCTCCCTCCCCCCCCCGTGTCTCCCTCTCCCCCCCCGTGTCTCCCTCCCCCCCCCGTGTCTCCCTCCTCCTCCCCGTGTCTCCCTCTCCCCCCCCGTGTCTCTCCCTCCTCCCCCGTGTCTCCCTCCCCCCCCGTGTCTCCCTCCTCCCCCCGTGTCTCCCTCCCCCCCCGTTCTTCCCTCCTCCCCCGTGTCTCCCTCCCCCCCCCGTGTCTCCCTCCTCCCCCGTGTCTTCCCTCCCCCCCCGTGTCTCCCCCCCCCCCCCCGTGTCTCCCTCCCCCCCCGTGTCTCCCTCCCCCCCCCGTGTCTCCCTCCTCCCCCCGTGTCTCCCTCCCCCCCCCGTGTCTCCCTCCTCCCCCCGTGTCTCCCTCCCCCCCCGTGTCTCCCTCCTCTCCCCGTGTCTCCCTCCTCCTCCCCGTGTCTCCCTCCCTCCCCCGTGTCTCCCTCCCCCCCCCGTGTCTCCCTCCCCCCCCGTGTCTCCCTCCTCCTCCCCGTGTCTCCCTCCCCCCCCCCCCCCGTGTCTCCCTCTCCCCCGTGTCTCCCTCCCCCCCCCCCGTGTCTCCCTCCTCCCCCCGTGTCTCCCTCCCCCCCCGTGTCTCCCTCCTCCTCCCCGTGTCTCCCTCCTCCTCCCCGTGTCTCCCTCCCCCCCCCGTGTCTCCCTCCCCCCCCCCGTGTCTCCCTCCTCCTCCTCGTGTCTCCCTCCTCCTCCTCGTGTCTCCCTCCTCCTCCCCGTGTCTCCCCCCCCCCATGTCTCCCTCCTCCCCCCCGTGTCTCCCCCCCCCCCGTGTCTCCCTCCTCCACCCTGTGTCTTCGCCTGCCAGGTCTTCCTCACTTCACAACGGGGATTTTCCGCTGTTGGGGCAGAGACACGTTCATCGCTCTCAGGGGACTCCTGCTGCTCACGGGGAGATTCATTGAGGCCAGGTACTGTCCAACATCTAGGTTGGCTCTGACGGACAGTTCCTGGTAAATAGCGGCTGCTGTTGTTGTTGTGTGTCTGTGTGTACGTATGCATGCGTGTTTTTGACCCCCCACCTCCGCCTGTGCCGTGCCGGCCTTAATCGCCAACAGCACTTGCCCCAACCGTCTGTTATGGGCTGGATGGGGGGATCTTTGTCTTTATTATTTTTTGTGAGGTTAAGGGCCATAATTCTTGTATTGTTACACTGGGACCATCCCATAGCAGGTTCCCTCAAGCGGTAACCCATACATGTGGACGCGTGCGCGTGTGAAGGAACATCATTCTCGCTTTTGCCGGGACCCTGAGACACGGCCTCATCCCCAACCTCCTGGGCCAGGGAGTGCACGCGCGCTACAACTGCCGCGACGCCGTGTGGTGGTGGCTGCAGTGTGTGCAGGTGGGGACGCACAGCGCTGTCTGGTGCTGGGTTAACGACACATTTATATTTACGCAATCTAACCCAAAAAAACCCTTTATTGCACCTTTACCTTGTGTTCACATCCCAGCTCTGCCCTGCAGCAGAAATGTGTTATCTGCTGTGGCTGTAAGTTGAGGGCATTGGTTTGATGGTTGGCGGAGTGGCTTAACACCAATGGGTCCTTTTGCTCTCCGCTCTCCATGTTGCTGCTGCTGCTGTTACCGCCAGGATTACTGTGTGCTGGCCGACAAGGGGAGGGAGATCCTGGCTCTGCCCGTCTCACGGATATTTCCCACGGATGAATCCGACCCACAGCCGCCAGGAGCTGTGGTAAGAGCATGAAGGATGGCAGTTGTGGTGTTGCTGGGTGTGATGTTGGTCATGATGGAAATGATGCTGATGATAATGATGGTGATGTTTTGGAGTACAACTGTTAGCGCGCTGCGCTACGAACCCGGCGACCCGAGTTCAATTCCTGCTTACGGCCAACACCAGTGACGATTATCTGAACGGGTCCTGGGCCTCCCCGAGGTCGACTCGGCCTCAAATAAGTACCTGGTGCGATGTGTAAACATTGCCACTGGGGAGAGAAAGGCGGCCAGGCATGGTGCTGGTTACCCATCCCCTCGTGTACCATGCTGGCCTTCATAGGTGCTTGCTAACAGCACTTGCCCCAAGTTTGTTAAGGCTATAGGGGGGATCTTTGTCTTTGATGTTGATGGTGGGGGTGGTGGTGGTGATGATGGTGAGACTGGTGAGGGTAGGGGTGGTGGTGATACTGCTGTTGGTGGTGGAGTTAAAGATGATAATGATGACAGAAGTGTTGGTGGTGGTGTGGAGTTGATGGTGTTGGCAGTGTTGATGATGATAATGATACTGCTGATAACAGTGACGAAGAAATGATAATATTGTCTCCACTTTTGTTCACGATGTTGATAATTTTCCTGCGGCTGCTGCTGCTGCTGCTGCTGCTGATGGTGTTGGTGATGTCGATGCAGGATCAGCCGCTGTATGAGGTGATCCAGGAGGCCATGCAGAGACACGCACAGGGCATTGCGTTCAGAGAGAGAAACGCGGGGCCAAACCTGGACCGCTGCATGAAGGAGGAGGGTACGAATGCAGCCGTGTCCATCATCTCCCTCAACATCCCCACCACCCCGAACATCTCTCCAGCATCTTCCTCAGCATTACCACACATCGATATGCCTTCCTGTGTCTCCCTTTCTTCCCTTTATATCTCTATTTTAATCCTCATGTCTCCCTTATTTATCCCTCCCCATTTGTCTCCCTTCTTACCGTGTCTCTCCCTTCTCCCCGCGTAGGGTTCTACGTCTCTGTGGGAGTTGACCTGAAGACGGGCTTCGTGTACGGCGGAAATCGCTACAACTGTGGCACATGGATGGACAAGATGGGGGAGAGTGAGCGGGCGGGAAACCGGGGCCTGCCAGCCACACCACGGTACACGGGGAGGAGGAGGGAGACATGGGGAGGAGGATGCAAACATAAGGGAGAGAAGTGGGAGGGTGGAGGAGGCGGGAGGAGATACGGGGACAGGAACCAGAGCAAGAGTGGGAGACACAGGCTGCAGGAGGGATGCAGGGTGCAAGGAGAGAGACGGGGAGGAGGAGTAACATACGTGGGGGAAGAGGAAGGAGGAGGAAGTCACTGGATGCACTGATCACATATGGTGCTCTGGCCCCATTGTTCTGGACAGTGCGTTGTGAACGCTTTGCCCTGACCTTGTGTGCCGTTGTCTGACAGGGACGGCTCTGCGGTGGAGATCGTGGGTCTGTGCCGCTCGGCCGTGCAGTGGCTGTCCGAGCTGCACAGGAAGGGCGCCTTTCCCTACGATGGCGTCAGCATCGACGTCGACGGTACAGGCTCACGATCGCCGTGTCGGAGACGCTCAGACGGCCCCGCCTATGTCATGGGTTCCATCCCTGAGTTTGGGCATCTCTCAGATTCTGTCTGTGTGAATTTAAAGAATTCCACATTCCTGTGCTGGAGTCCAGTCTGTCCTTGATTCTGTTACTACTCATGAGGATGGGGATGGTGATGCAGATGATGCTACTGCTGGTATCGTTGCTACTCCTCCGACTGCTACTACTACTACTGTTGCTGCTGCTGCTATTATTTCAGTGGTACTACTGCTGTTACTATTACTGATAGTATTACTGATCTCACTGCTGCTGCTGCTACTGGTGCTGTTGCTGACATTGGTTGACATCACCAACAGTAGCAGCAGCTACAATAATGGTAGTAATAGCACTTCTACTAGCAGTATCGTTAGCATTAGTAGCAGTAGTTGTAGCAGCAATAGCATCAGCAGTTTGTATCATCCTCCCCTGTCCTCAACCTCTGCTCTCTCTATCCTGTGGTGACGTGGGACTCAGCAGTAGCTCGTTTGCCGCCTATTACAGAGGTTCAAGGTTCAAATCCAGCGGCTGCCCTGATTAATACTGCGGGTGAGATAACCATAATACTATACACCGCCTGCTTTAACAGTTGACGCTAAAGATCCCGTGACAATTGGCCCATTGTGTGCCGGTGTCGTGGTCCAAATCAGAAAAAATTACCTGAAAATCACTCAATTAAGATTATACATTGCGATAATCTCCCTTTACTGCCAACACCTTGCTAGGACCCTCCTGTAGAAGAGTCGCGAGACTCTCCCAACTCAGGGCGTACCCCCACTCTCTTCCTGAACCCCCACCCCAGGTACGGTGTCACACCTGTCGTACACGGACTGGGCGGACCGGATCCTCCGCTCCTTTGAGCCCAAGTTCTACGTCCAGGACAAGAGCGATTCCCAGAGCCAGGACCCCCACCCCGAGCTCGTGCACAAGACGGGCATCTACAAGGACAGCTATGGGGCCTCGCAGCCCTGGTGCGACTATCAGCTCAGGCCCAACCTCACCGTCGCCATGGTGGTGGTGAGATGCTTGCGATGGTCGGGCTCATAATGGCAGTGTTGGGTTTATAATGATCGTGAAGGGTTTATAATGGCTGTGTTGGGTTCATAATGGTTGTGAAGGGATACTAATGATCGTGAAGGGTTTATAATGGCTGTGTTGAGTTCATAATGGTCGTGAAGGGTTCATAATGGCTGTGTTGAGTTCATAATGGTCGTGAAGGGATACTGATGGCTGTGAAGGGTTCATATTGGCCGTGTCAATTTCATAATGGTCGTGAAGGGTTCATAATGGCAGTGTTGGGTTTATAATGATCATGAAGGGTTTTTAATGGCTGTGTTGAGTTCATAATGGTCGTGAAGGGATACTGATGGTTGTGAAGGGCTAATAATGGCCGTGTCAATTTCATAATGGTCGTGAAGGGTTCATAATGGCTGTGTCGGGTTCATCATTGTAGCGATGGGTTCTCAATGGCCATGTCAGGATCATGATGGTTGTGAAGGATACATAATGGTTGGGTCGGGTTCATAATGGTTGTGAATGGTTAATAATGGCCGTATCCGGTTCGTAATGGTGACTTTCAATTCAATTAAGATATTCAGTTTCTCCTCTCTGTCTCTCTTTACTACCCCATGTTGTCTCCGTGTCCCTTCTCTCGATATCTTCGTTATTTGTTTCCCTCCGTCTCTTTTTTTCTCCATGTCTCCCTTGTGCCTGTATCTCCCATGTTTCCATGTGTCCCCTTGTCTCCGTGTTTAGGCTCCTGAACTCTTCACCCCAGAGAAAGCCTGGAAAACACTTGAAATTATCGAGAAAAAACTTCTCGGCCCGCTCGGCATGAAGACACTGGACCCAGAGTGAGACACGGGGAGGGAAAATTAGATATTAGGAGGCGAGGTAGACGGGGGGAGGGGGGAGAGACACAAGGAGATAAAGGGAGAAATGGTGCAGAGAAATAATACACGGGAAAGCAGGGAAAATATAAGGAGATAGAGGGAGAAAAATTAAATCTCCTCACAATAAAATGTTACGTAACATTATTTTTGATATGCAGTATCAATATTTGTGAATTATTAATATTATGCATCGTATGTTATTATGCTATATATTTGTATATTTTACGTATAAATGTGAATAATTTGGTAAATTTTACGTGAAAATTATCCACCGTTGCTACCTTGCCAAGACCCCGTTTTTAAATGGGATGGGATCTCAAGAGTTTACACCCACGCACCTCCGATTAGCACGGTTGGCGATGTACAGCGTGAAAGAAGTTCAACATACGGTATATGTTACGGCGCTGGTTCTTAACCTTTACTGCAGCCTTACACTCCTTTGGTTCTCAAATGTAACAAAAATGTACAATGTTAATAAATACACAGGTTTAATGAAACAAAGTAGTTGTACTTACAGACCCGAGCTTAATTTGCCTTTTGATTTACCTTCTAAAAAACTCTGCATGTCTCACACCTCCAGAAGGGGCATCTCGCACCCCCAGGGGATGCGCGCACCTCAGGTTAAGAACCAGTGCTTTACGGTATACAATGGAATCGATCTCAAATTGAAGTAAAGTAAACCGTTAACTTCAAAAGTCTCCTTTTTCTGGGGTCCTGCCTTAACGGAACAGGCCCTCAGCTGCCTTCGTTTCCGTCCGTCTCTCCTCCGCTTCATTACCCCAAACGCCCCCTTCCTTCAGCTGCTCCAACATCCCAATCCTCGGCCTTCCTCTCGTTCTCTGCCCGTTTAGTCTTCCCGCGATAGCGTCCTGATCCGCTGAACTGTCCCCGCACAGCGTACGGTCAATCCAGTTCTCTCTCTCCTCTTGATAACTTAGCTTCAAGGTAATAGTGAAATATCATCAGGATCAGCTGCATTAGAGGGATTTGGTGAAGCCGAGGTCAGTTGCACCTCTTGATGATAGATGCATTGCAAATATGAGGGAGTTTTCTAGGTTTGTGAAAACAGTTGATTATGGTTCATCAAGGTAGGAGCTGACTATGAGCAAAGATAGAGTGCTAGTTCAAAGCATGCAACATGTAATATTCCCCAGAATGTCACTATTTTTTGGCGTAAGACTGAACTTTGTGAAATTCTGGTTTGATATGTAATACGTTGACGTTGGTGGTGGTGTTGATGTTGCTGATAGTGTTGATGGTATTGTCGTTGATGCACAGTGATATGGTTTACAATGGAGTCTATAACAATGCCGATGATGGAACCGACTTCAACAAAGCCAAGGGATTCAACTACCACCAGGGACCGGTACATGAGCTCACACAAAGACAAAGATCCCCCATATCGCCTTTAACAGATTGTTGGGGCAAGTGCTGTTTGCGAGCACCTTTGACGGCTCTATTATGGACCTTTGAAGGGTGACACGACACTAAAGGGGGTGGGTGGCCAACGCCACACCCATTCACCTTTGGCTTCCAAGTGATGTTTACACACTGCATCAGATGCTCATTTAAGGTTGAGTTGACCTAGGGGAAGCCCAGGCTTTGAGGGTTCGTAACGCAGTGCACTAACCACTGCGTTACCACTCCCTTTCACTTACACACACGAGTGTTCCATGTTTGAACAAAAAATTAACACCACAATGATGTCACTTCCCCACCCCCCTCTCGCAAATGGAAGTGACATCACTTTGGTAGATAAACCCAAAACCATTTTTACAGATGATCCAAATTTTAGTTTCTCAAGTTGATTTACGGTTTTTAAGATCAATCCAAAAATCTGGAACATATTCCTAATATATATGAATATGGGTATGCTTTATTTTTAAAATATCAAACGTTGAACAATTGCCTCTCTCTGTGTCTCCGTCAGGAGTGGCTCTGGCCCGTGGGCTACTTCCTCCGTGCAAAACTTCTCTTCTGCCGCTTCATGAGCGAGGAGATCCAGAAGGAGACGATTGCTCTCGTCAAGAAAACACTGGCAGCTCACCAGACTCACCTTGAGAGGTGAGGGAGAGGTGGTGGTGGTGGAGAAAGAATGGTGGTCATTTTAATTATGATAAGGTGGATGATGCTGCTGCTACTAATCATAACAATTCTGATGATGATAATGATAATACTGGTGATTATGATGCTGCTACTGTTATGACGATAATAATGTTGACTGTGATTCCAGTAATAATGCTGATGATAACGTTGCTCCTGAAGTTGCTACCGATGATTCTACCCATCGTGACGACGCTCCTGCTCACGATGCTGGTGAAGATGATCCACGACGATGATGCATGATGATGTCGCTGTCACAGGTCCCCGTGGAAGGGTCTCCCAGAGCTCACCGACGCCTCGGGCCGCCACTGCCCATTCAGCTGCGAGAGCCAGGCCTGGAGCCACGCCGTCATCATCGACGCCGTGCATGCCCTCACCGGGGGCATGGTCGCATAGACGTGCCTTCTGTACGGGGACAGGGATGCCTAGGTCGCCTAGGCGTGCCCTCCGTTGGGAGGCAGGGCCACCGGGGCATGCCCCTGTCACAACTGGCAAGGCTGATTCAAGTGCATTCGCGAGGGGCGTGGCCCATTAAAGTGTATTACCAGAAACAAGGTGGCTTAGCGCATGCCCCTCCATCGTGGGCAATTGCAAGGGGCTTGGCCCACTGAAGTGTATTACAAAGGGACGGTTGATTGTCATGTATCAGAGGGGCAAGGCCTATTGCAATGCATTATATGGGCGTCGTTCATTGAGGTGCTTTAGAGGGGGCATGGCTGCATAGGCTGTGCCCTTAGTAGGGTCAAGAGCAGCTAAGGGCTGTCCTATTAAAGGCATAGCCCATTGCCACATGTGTCACGTGGCCATTGAAGCATTACAGGGAAGGAGGGCTCATTGAACCATGAAGGGCATTTCCAATTCACAGAGGGCATTTCTCATTCAAAAACATTACAAAGGGGTATATCGCAGTGCACCACTTGCAAACCACATGGCCCATTGAACTGCAAGAGGACATGGCAATTTAAATGCATTAGTGGGGCATGGCCCATTGAAACACATTTCAAAGGGTGCGTCAACACATTTCACAGGGCATTGCCCGTTAATTAAAAAACATAAATGGAATAGTAGGCAAATAGCTCAGTCTAGTGAGTGTAGCAACATAATATTGCAATGGCGTGTTTAAAGAAATAAATGACGTGAAAAAATGTACCACCAAAATCAGTGCACAAAATTCACTTTAAATGGAAAAAAACTATTTTAGATTAAATGTGTAGGCCACTCAGCACTTTTCAACTTGCTAAATAAAATGTTAGCTCCCCCCCCCCCCGTAATGATCGTTTAAAGAAAGACCCTGCCCCAAATCACCATACGGCTCTTCCCAAGTAGCCACCCATTCATGCTGTGTGCCTCGGGTCTGCCCATACAAATCTGCAACGTCACCATTCGTAGCAGCCATGATCCATCCACTGCTGGATGAAGGCCTCATCAAGTCGCCGCCACATCTCACGATCTCGTAATGCAACAATGCATTCAGTCACCTGCACACGAGCTGATTTCATTGTTCCATCTCCGCATAGGACCTAAGTCTTGGGATTGTCCCTTCCTTTGGCTGCCACTTTGTCGTTATTCTCCAGCAATGTGTGCTGCCCAAGGCCAATAGCTTTTCTTAACAGTAAATATGATTTTTGATTTAACGCTTTCGTGACTGCAGGGATTCATATTCTTGATTCTTTCCCTTCTACGTGACTTTACCGAAAGAACCAAGAATAGTAAATATGATGTCTCCTAACTAGCATACATTCTTTAAGAAGCTGCGTTATTGAGGAAAATAAACTTCGAAGTGACCTTCATGAGCGCTCTCGTGATGCCACTGCAATGCAACTGAAGAACATGTCATCAAGCGTCACTGATGCTAACCTTTAAGTAAATTTAAAGTATTCTTCTCACAAATTAAGAATTTGAACTCAGGAGGGAGAGCCCCGGTACACGCAGCCATGGCATATAGCTACTGGAGCAGACCTGCGTGTGCTTTATGTTGCGTCGCTCATCAACGAGTCTGCTTTTAGACAACTATTTATTTTAACAAATGTGGGTAGTAATTGAAAATCAAATTGCTAATGGTGACTTAAAAGTTTATTTCAGTTTTTATGCCAAATTGATTTTATTTTATTGAGAATATCATTGATAATAGGTCAGATGTTTCATAACTCATCTGATAACCCTTGTTTTATCTCATCAGATAGAGAAATCCCATCCCATTTTAGCAAATCCAATGCCTTTGTCTTGTCCGATATGGAAGACTCATCTCATCCAAAACAGAACTATTGCCATGTCGAAGCTGATACAGAACCCTTGTTTCTTCCAATGAAGAAGCTTTAACTTGGCCATTACAGAATACCCATCTCATCTCATTCAACACGGAACATCACAACGGATCACATCACAACCTTCGTCGCATCCGAATACAAAACCAGTGAACTTCAAACATTGAGCCTCTTCAAATGTAATGGTGTATCGGATTTTAAAGGTTTACTGACGGTTGAATTTATGGTGGAGTGTTGTAGAATGTCGTTGCATGCAATCAACCTAGTAGCTTAGGCTTTTAAGTGACACACATTGAAACACATAATTAAGAAACACAAATAGTTATATATCTGATGATGCAACTCAAACACACTTGCAGCTCTTGTCTAGAACTTACTCCCTTCGGTCGTGTGGCCTGGACTATACCCCGCATGCATCTGAAACCTTTTTTTGTGGGAAGAAAACGCTTTCAATTTCATTTCAAGCGCAGTCTATTGATGTCACCGAGGTGGCGTACGAAAAGTCAGGCTGCTGTGCCCGATTGATTTCACTACAGTGCTCCTGGAAGTTACTTTAACGTCTTCTTCCCTCACTAGTTCATACACAACAGCCCAGGACACACAGCTCGGATGTGTGGCTACTAGAGAAGAGCTGTGGTGTTTGAGTGGCGTCTTGTTTTAGCGAAAGTCTATCATATCAGGCCTTATGGAGTGTGTTGCTGTGTGATAAACCAATAAAACGGCACCTGATTGAAACAAACTCGTTTCAGTTTAACACGTTTGCTTTCGCGACCAATATCATCCATAATACTGTGGAGGTTTTTGGGTTAGATCGAGTAAATAAACAAAACGGTCATCAACATGACTAACGTTGAATTATCCAGCGATATGGTTTCAGTCCTGTCTAAAGGTCTTAACTTTGCTGTTGCCTCATGTAAAATCCCTGTCGATGAGATAGATCATTGCTGAAGTGAAATCAGCAGTTGGACATCTCCTTCATAATCAAGCTGAGATGACTAGGCACGAGGTTGCCAAAAACAAATATTCACTTTAGTGAAGCAAAAGCCTTAAGAGAATTGAGAGCAAATAAAGATATCAAAATTCTTGCTGCTGATAAGGGCCAATCGACTGTTGTGATGCCCTGTGAGGACTGATAATAAAATCAGAGATTAAAATTAAACGAGACCCAACCAGCACCTTAGAATGTAAAACAACGGCAATCTTTCCCAATATTCTTGGGTTTTTTCCGGTAAAGTCAAGTAGGTAAACAATTAAAATTAATAAAAGTAAAATAAAATAAAAAATCACGACGTTTCGGAGGCAACAAAAGCTTCCGTCTTCAGGTGGAACCGTCACAGCACATAGCTGCATCGAAGGATCGAGAAGGGGGGCGTGGCCTCGGGCCGAGCCGGCCACACCACAGCGGTTATAAGCGGGGTGTGAACAGAGAACGGGGCTGTTCGACCCCGGGGTGAAGATGCCATCAACACTCCTCCAGACTCCGGCCTTCGTCCGTGACCAGGCAGCCCGTTAACTTGCCCTGGTCACACGTAGTATTTCTTCCCCGAGTGTTAGTGAGATTAGGAACGGTGGTCACCACCCTGTGTATAACGTTCCCGTTGGTTGTTATGCGTTAGTGAATAGTGATGCCTCCAAGTTGAGTGTGCGCCTCAATCGAACCCATTACACGCGTGATGGAAAGTACAGCAATGAAAACAAATCTGTAGAATTAACAACAGCCGCCATTCACCACTACACCACTAACTGGTGGTAATGTCACCACATAGCTTGTGCCATTGAGGCCATGTTGTAGTTTCGAAGGCAGGAGGTCATGGGACAGGCCCAGGTCTTGTGGGTTAACTGACTGAAGTAAATGGCAGATGTACGGCCTGTGCTCCCCACTGTGTCATCTTGTGTTTTAAGTCGGGGACGGCCAGTATCGTAATTATCACAGTGTGCCATACTCTTTGGTTCTTTCAGTAAAGTCACGTAGGTAGAAAAAAAATAATAAAAGATCACGACGTTTCGATCGCAACACAAGCGACCGTCATCAGGTGAGACGATCACAGCAGGGAAACTGCTGAAACAGCTTCAAATCCAGATTGTTAGTGTTTCGATTTAAAGCTTTCGTGACTGCAGGGATTCATCTTCTTGGTTCTTTCGGTAAAGTCACGTAGAAGGGAAATAAAATAAAAAATAATAAAACATCTTCTTGGTTCTTTCGGTAAAGTCACGTAGAAGGGAAGTAATAAAATAATAAAAATAAAACATAATAAAACAATTCTCACGACGTTTCGGCCACAACGCAAGCAGCCGTCCTCAGGTGAAAACCAGGTCCGTCAGACTCTGTCGCCTCGACGGACCTGGTTTTCACCTGAGGACGGCTGCTTGCGTTGTGGCCGAAACGTCGTGAGAATTGTTTTATTATGTTTTATTTTTATTATTTTATTACTTCCCTTCTACGTGACTTTACCGAAAGAACCAAGAAGATGAATCCCTGCAGTCACGAAAGCTTTAAATCGAAATAATAAAACAATAAAATAAAATTATATTATAGTATTTTATTATTTCCAGTGGCGGCTCCTGCAAAATCTCTCAGGGGGGGCAAATGTCTGGATGATAAGGATAAGGTCCACCCATGCAATGGATAAATTAACAGCTTAAGCATGTAAAGGCAACTTCACTTCTTTAATATTAATGAAAAATAAAGTGACTCTTACAATACATCTTGTTTGTTTCTATACTCACTATTAAAACAAACCACTCAAGTTTATTTTATTAAAGATTCCACTAGGTGGCGATACATTATATTGTTGGATGAAACGTGCTTACGTATGATGACGTTAGCACGTATGATGACGTAAGCACGTTAGGGCGAGCCCTCCCGGAAGCCATACAGAATGCATTGGAGCGCCCCCGTTCGAAAAAAAACATCTTTGAATGTAAGTCTATGGGGCCACTCGGGGCGATTCTCAGCCGGAGTGAAATCGCCCAAAAAGAGGCGGTACTCCACAGAACGTGACATGACGCTGATTGGACTATATCCAGAGGCTGCAGTGACGGCTAGCGTGACTCTGTGGTTGAATGACATTGGTGGTGCGTCGCCCAATCGCCGTAATGAAGAAACCGCCCCTGAGTATTTCCCTTCTACGTGACTTTACCATAAGAACCAAGAAGATGTTACAGTGTTCTTAACTTTTTCTAGATTTCCTGTAGTTCATTACCATTGGTCTTAATGACTTTCAGGACACTTCTGACCTGAGCCAAACGGCCACTTCTAATCACGCTTGAGCCTCAATTGCTCATCTGAATGTGAAGTTTTCGTGACTGCAATGATCCATACTCAAGTTCAAGTTAATTTATTAGGTATAGCCATGTGAGCCATTCGGCTCTTGAATCGGGTGCAACCGCAACAGACAAAAAACAAAAACATGAACAAGAAAACATCTTAAAGTGAATATGTGACTGAGTGCAAACAGAAAATCCAAGAAAAGACAGCAAAATGTTGCAGAAAAAGCACCGTACACCAACGCTGTGCGCAAACATCCCAGTGGGATGCAAGTCAAACAACAACAACCACAAGACAACTTAGATTAAGGCCATCAGTCTTAACTCCGTACTACAACAAACAAACATGGCTAAAGCAAAACACTTTTCGAAATCACCAAAATAAAGCCATGAAAGCAATGAAACAGTGATCATAGGAACAGTGACGGAATTTTCACAATAAATGACATAAAGAAAATGTACTACCAAAACCCTGCAGCTGGCTGCATGAGTCTCTCCACAACAGCAGGAGCATCAATCGGAGTATTATAATTTTTCAATACTCTCTTGTTCTTTCGGTAAAGTCACGTAGGTATAAAATAAAATACAATTTTTTTAAATATAAAATACAATTTTTTTAAATATAAAAAATATACATGACTTTACCGAAAGAACCAGAGAGTATGCTCATCTGAAATTACGCATTCAAACGCAATTCCCAATGCTAAACCTACAACGTGATCATCGCACGCGGAATCGATTCATTATCATTGTAAACATCGCTTGTCCACGCCGATTAAAGCCGGGGTTAATCGAAACTTCGATTTGCGTTGTGGTGTTCGATTCGTTTTGACCTCGTGCTGAACTTGGACTTGTGAATCGATTCCTAAACCTCCATCGTTTCATCGGTGATTCGATTAAGACACTACAACTACATTATCGAATCACGCTCATGAATCTGCGATCGATCAAATAGGCTGCATCTGGCCGAAACCGAGCATCTAATCGCCGCGATGAACGTGTCTTTCAATATTGGCAATAATTTCCATCCTGTTTGCAGCCGTATCGATTAGATAATCGTCCGCTTCCAGGAGAATCGATTCCTTGACCATGGCGGCCTCGTCTCTGTGCTGGGCGCCCGGTCGCTTGTGCCGCGTGAGGCTGCGGCCTTCGCCGTCGCCCCTCGCCCTGGGAGTCCCGTGCGGGGCCGTGCGAAGCTTCTTCCTCCCATCAACCACAAACAGCAACAACCTCCGCGCCTCTTCCCTTCCGACAAACAACAACCAGCCCCATGACTCCGCTTCGTCGATAGAGGGGAACCCCTTCTACGGGAAGTACGCCGCTAGGATTGAGGCGCTGCGGAGGTGAGGAGCGATGCGGCCGGCAGGGCTGCTCAGGTGAAGCGGGAGGCTTCATCAATGGCCAGGCCTCACTTTAATTTACTCTTTAATAGGAACAAAATAAACCTTATAATTCCTCAATAGCATTACTTTAAAATAACATATATGTGTGTATTAGGACCATTACTGGGTTCTCATGACAATATGCTTTCTCCCTTTGTATTTTAAAGCAAAAGTTGGGGGGACGTCTTATAATTTGAATCTAAAATGTGAAGAATTGTTAGAGATGGCTCCAATGGTTATAATCTCAATAATAACAGACTTAAGACTTAAGAGCGATGTCAAAGATACCGGTTAGAATGTAGATATTTATAACTGTGATCATGCGGTATTTCCAATAATGTTACACTAATTATCTTGTCAACAATGACATGTCTTTATTCCCAATCGTTAACTTATTCGTATACCTTATGCCAATTATATCCATCATCCTAGTCATATTTAATTAATACAAAAATCTCAATAACGTCAATACTAATCACAACCTCGGACATAATTGTAGTCATAATCTCATTGACAATTATCGCAATAATACTTATAATACTTAAATTATTAACGATTCTTCATCCATAACACGATGTAACACGATTTTTGTCCCTGGGTAGTAAGTGTTATTTTTTTTATTTGCATATGCCTAAAAAGTATAGAAAATGGCTATTATTCCCCACAAACTTTGCTTTTGTGACCAGGACTTGATGTAAAGGAATGACAAATGCACACGTTTTCTCATTGAAAATAGGTAAATATCAATATATCACTGTCCTGGTCACAAAAGCAAAGTTTGTGGGGAATAAAGCCATTTTCTGTACTTTTGAGGCATATTCAATTAGGAAATAACACTACCCAGGAACACATGTTTGGTTACAGAGTGGTATAATATCCACTGTTGAAGGCCTGTCCACCTTGTGACCTTTACGTGGGGGGCCTCTGATATCAACAATCCATCGCGTTTCTACACACGAGCTACTCTCATCCCTCTGTATGTATGTCGAACTTAATTCCCACCGTACTTAGCCAACCATACAAATCGGAGGTGCTACGTCTCCTAGATAGTTGTTCCTCTGGTGTGTTCTCTCTTGGAGCTGCCATTACATCACCCATCTCCTCAATTGCCTTTCGTTCCTACCGGTGATGTCCGATATTTGGGTCTTTGTGATCTTAGTGAACAATACATTTATTTACATGTGATCAGAGGCCAATGCGTTTGTCATTTTAAAGAGCAGTTTTTGTCTTCCTCGGAATAGAAGAATGTTGCAGGCAAAATTCTCCAACTGACAATTTCCGTGTAAATCGATCTGCAAATTTGATCAGAATCAGAATATTTGTTTAATACAGAGGAATCCGATTAGCTATCCATCTCTTTTTCACAGATGTCCAGGAGTCATTCAACAGCCTGGCCCAAGCAGTTGTTTATTCTAGTCAGGGATATTTCCCTTTGTTCATGTTGCTAAAAGAAGTGGTTAATTTTTCAAGGATGACATCGGCAACATCCCCCTGCTTATCTGATATGGCCATTATGAACCTCTTAATAGAGTGACAGAAACCCAGACCCAGGGCTCAAACTAAGGTTTTCAGCCAGCAGTGTTGGCTTAGTGTCTGTGACCCCAGCCATTATGAATCCCCTAAATCGGTGGCGTGTGGTTTTTAGAAATCGCCCGGATGATTTCAATGCTCGACTACAGAGGCTGGAGCAGATGCGGGAGGCCAAAGAAGAGGCGCCAAAACAAGAGGGGACAACACAGAGGGGAGAGAAGGTGTGTGTCGAAAAGTGCATGTGCGTTCACGTGTATCTCTTAATGTTCGTGTGCATATAATGTGTGTGTTGTGGGGAGCGGTAGTGTAGCGGTGAGCGCGCTGCACTCCGAACGCAGCGCCCCAAGTTAGGAAGACAAAGGCGGCCGGGCGTGTTGCTGGCCACTCACCCCCTCGTGTGCCGTTGCCGGGCTTCATAGGTGCTCGCTAACAGCAATTTCCCCAACAGTCTGTTCAGACTATTCGGGGGATCTTTGTCTTATATATATTTGTAGTGGTTAGCGCACCATAGGCAATATATCAGGTCTGTGCCTTTTTGTGTCTGTGTCTATCCCTCAGATAAGTATCTGTATTTGGGTCACTGTGTCTCTATTAATATACAGTATCAGTGTGTCTCCTTATATTTTTCACATTCTCCATATCCTTGCGTTTGCCTTTGTCTCTGTATAAATTTGTAGGTGTTTGTGTGTTTGTCTCTTCGTCAGTTCAATATGTTATTATTGCTGTACTTTTTTGTGTTGTTGTCTCTCTGTATCCAGTTCCGTCCAATAGGAGGCGCCATCTCACTCCTAATGTTCGGAACAATTTGTGTGTGTATTGTGTATGTATGAGGCATGATGGGGAGGGGTTGCCCAGTGGTTAGGGCATACCCTACGAACCCAGAAACCTGACTTCGATTTCTGGCCATAGTTCCAACCAATGGTGATTATCATAACTGGTCCTGGGCCTGTCCTAGGTCAATTGAGCCTTAAAATGAGTACCTGCCAGGCTGTGTAAACAACAGCAATGTGGAGACAAAGGCAGCTGTGCTTCAAATTAATACATTAGCAAAACAGTAGCTTATCTCGCCATTCATAAATAAAATAACATTCACGTTCATCAGCCTCCTGAACCAACATTTTACAGCTGTATTTTTGTATCAGTTTTGGAGTTATTTGAGTCTCCTCAGAAGAGTGTGTCTGCACATGCATTATCTGTACGTGTATCTTTCAGTATATACATACTCTTATTATACCGTATGTATTATGTGTGAATATTATACGAGTGCACATATAACCATGTAAATTGGGTGGAGTGGTGGTTTAGTAGTTAGTGCACTGCACTGCAAATCAAACAACCCGAGTTGGACTCCTGGCCACGGCTAATGATCAGTGGCGTTTTAGGTTGACTCGGCCTCACCGAGGTTGACTCCGCCGTAAATGCGTACCTGGTGTGATGTGTATCCACCAGCACTGGGGAGACAAAGGCGGCCAAGCGAGGCATTTTCCATAACGTCCCATCGCATGCCATTTTTATTTTAATAGGTGTTCGCTTACAGCATCTGCCCCGACAGTCTGCATCGCTAAGCGGGGGATCTTTGTATAAGTGTGTGTAAGTGTGCTTTACTGCGTTCATTAACCCCATGCTCACCCCCCTGCGCTGTCATTTCTCAGTCGAATGAATTCAGCAGAGAGAGCAAAGCGCACAGCGGAAAGGTGAGAGACAGGAGAGAGAGTGTGTGTGTGTGAGAGAGATTTGAGACCGAGTTTGTGAGAGCGATTGGAGAGTGTGAGTGTGTGTGCAAATAGAACATATCGCTAGAACATATCGCTAAGGAGTGTGTGTGAGAGATTTTATCGTTAATTAGCTGTTATATCCACTGCTAGATGAAATCCTGGGCAGTCTCACAATGCAACAATCCATCTCCTGCACATGAGCCGTTCTCATTGCTCCATCTCTGTGGTGGTCATCCTCTCTAATCTGTTCCCACATTTAGCTCTGAACAGAGTTGCAGATAAAGATTAGCAATTAGACTGCACCTCCCATTATCACGGTTGGCTACGTACAGTGCGAAAGAAGTTCAACATACATAGAGGGAGTGAGGAAGAGAGGGAAGAGGTTGGTAGAAAAAGTATAACCTTTTGGCATGTTACGATCTACTAAGTAATATGAATTTGTAAAATGAATGGTAGTATGTCTTAGAAATTGATTATGTATTATCCATGCAAATCAGATTCAAATGTTACTTTTAAGCTAATGGAACGAATGATACAGTCCACACAAGACTTGCAGTACAGGTTAAAAACAGAACAAATAAGACAGTACAAATGAGACACAATGACAGTACAAACAAAACGGTACAAATGAGGCCGTTATGCATCAGGCAAACAAGGGTACAAATAAGATGGTAAAACAACAAGACTGGCAGTACGGATGAGACGGAGTAAATGCAACAGTATAAGCAAGACAATGAGACGGATCAAACGGTTTTCCAGAATATAACAGCCAATTGCTAGAGCCGACCATGTAAGAACCTTTCCAAACCTTACTGGCGAGGTGAGATTTCCATTCCTCAGAAGCTTGACTGGTACTGCCAGGACCTCTTAACTATTACTATCTATTTTTATTTTACCTGGTAATGCCCACTGAGCTATGTAGCTCTTTTTCAGAAGCGACCTGGCCACAAATAATAGCTCATCCAAGTGGCTTATCATGTGGAAATTTATATCAGTAATGTACTCTCAACACATGTTTCTAAATGTGGACGGGAGAAACCGGACGGCCCGGAGAAAAATCCATATGATCACCGGGAGAACATGCAAACTCCAAATATACAGCAGGCGTCAGGGTCGCGGTCGAACCCACAACCTCCTGTTTACAATCCGAGTTAGTTAACATGCTCGCCCCTGTGAGGGGGTGCGCAGTCACCTGTTTAGGTCAGGATAACATTGAACGACGTGGAGTGAATCTTATTCTGAATAAAAGAATGAAGTGAAGCTTTGGGTGCCATGCTGTTGTGAGTTAGCCTCCCCATCAACGGTAGGTGAGGTATGGTGGTGGTGATCTCTGCCCTCATTGAAAATGAACATCTGTAGAGGGACACAGGCAAAGCTGATGAGTCAGATGCCTTCTGTGACCTCCTTTCCCAGACGGTGGCTAAAGTGGCCCCTCGGGAGAGAGATATTTTTTATCAGGTGACAGTAATGGCCGAGCGGGTCCTGACGCTGGTACTTGTGTGGAAGCGATTGGAAGGCATGGGCCAGATCAGCTCAATAGCAATGTAAGGAGGCAGCTGGATGTCTGTAGAGTCCGTGGGTTTGTTATCACCTACACGGGCTTCCAGCACTGGCGCTTCCACGCAATATCATACGTGCATACCAGGTTCAAGCGGCAACATGTGCTGCACTGTTTAGTGGTGGAATGGCGAATGCGAGCCCACGTCTTTGACACCGTAACCTATCTTGGAGCCGATCTGTCCCTTGATCATTGAATTGTGTCATCTGTAAAATGCATTTTTTATTTCACTGTCTGTGTGGGCATCTACCAAGGACCCCATTAAAACCTGCATCAGCCTGTTCGCAGCAAGCTGGTAGAGGCTGCAACCAAAAATGCAGTAACCGCTTGTAGCTTTTGTCGGCATATTCCACCCTGCTCCCAATGCCCAAGGAAATGAGCGAGGCTCTGGACTGTAGCTGACGGTAATAAACTTCATGCAGTGCCTATGGTTGCACTGGGTAACCCAGTCTAGGTGTGACACTGGCTAGTGGATAAGGTGTTCCAACTGGCTGAAATAAAGAGGCAGGGCCATTCTTACCGTCTACAACTCCCATGCCCAAGAACAAGGAGGCCTACTCTAACCTTCATTCGGAGGTATAGAGAGCCATGTGTATATCCGTATATAGCAGGTGTGTATATGCACATGCGTATGTATGTATGTATGGGTGTGGATGTGTATTTATGTGTGTAAATATGTGTGTGTCTTTGCTGAATCAGGGTCTGGACTCCATCATAAAAATCGAACTCATCCAAGATAAAACGCCTCATGAAATTGAGGAGGTAAGAGCGTAGCCCTCAACCCCGACCACTAACACAAGTCCACCTTTACCTCAACCACTAATACAGCCCCGCCTCTACCCCTATAACATATATTTACGTGCACACTTTTGCGCGCACCTATATTACACATGCACACACACACAACTGCTTCCTTCACCAACCCGCAATGACTGGCACAGTGAAGTGTGGTGGGACAACCCGAGTGGATTTGTAAGCCTTGGTCCCCACCGCCCACCCGTTGTCCCGGGGCGAGTGGTAAATATTTACGCGCTCACGTCCACGGTTACGGAGTTGCAGGATCAGTGCAGGTGAATTGGACTCGGCAATGAACTTGAGCTCTTTCACACGACACTACCACCTGTTGTGTAAGTCCAAATAGAAACCGTGAAAGCCTGAATGGCACTTAAATTAAATGTTCTTCCAACCAGGTTCTTGGGCCTATGTTATAATTCTATTATCGCAGAATTGTTGCTTAAACATTGGCACTGGGGTTTAGGTGCTAGGACACTCCACCCCCTCGAGTGCCATGCCGGACTTGCTCAGCGCCCACCAATAGAAATTGCCCCAACAGTCGATGTCGGCCACATGGGGGATTTTTTTCTCCGCGTGCAGATCTGGACTCTCTACTTCAGCAACAAAAATGTCATCTCCGCTGTGATCCCGGTGAGTCAACTCACGTCAGTGTGAGTATGCAAGAGTATGCAAGTGACCGTGTGTGTGACCGTGTGTATATATGTGGTAACCCCTCCACCTTCAATTAATTACCACAAACCCATGTCCCCGGGGGGACAGGCATTTATGATGTCTCCTGGCCAAAACCCCATTTGGCGGAGCCAGGAGACTGAATCCTTACCCTCGGGGCTCCTCCAGAAACAACAACAACATCCCCACTCCTGGTGGCCACGTGGAAGGTTCGAACGCTCACTGCGGAGGAGAGGCTGCCACTCTTCTGTTGGGAGCTGGACCGGTACCGCCTGGATCTCTATGGTATTAGGGAGGTCCGGTGGACCGGCTCTGGCTCCTGCCATCATGAGGGGTGGACAGTCCTCTACTCGGGGAAGGAGACTGCCAACAACAGGGAGTGGTTCTTCTGAACAAAAGAATGAAGGGGGCGTGGGAGCGTAGCGGTGAGGTGTGGGAAGCGGTAAGCCCCAGGCCACTTGGGGCTCGCCTTCCCATCAACCGGAGGCGAGGAGTGGTGGTCATGGTTACTTATGCCCCCACCGAAGACGAACATCCGTGGACTGATTCAGGCAAGGCCGATGAGTCGGATGCCTTCTATGACCTCCTGTCACAGGTGCTAGCTAAAGTGGCCCCTCAAGATTGAGTCATCTTGTTGGGTGACTTCAATGCCCGAGTTGGTCATGATGCTGGCACCTGGTCTGGAGTGATTGGAAGACATGGGCCAGATCAGCTCAGTAACAATGGTAGGAGGCTGCTAGATTTTTGTGCAGCCCATGGACTTGTAATTACCAACACGCTGTTCCGGCATCGGCGCATCCACGCAACATCATGGATGCATGCCGGGTCCAAGCAAGAACATCTGCTGGGCTACATAGTGACGGAACAGCGGATGCGGGCCCATGTCCTTGATACCAGGACATACCGTGGAGCTGATCTGCCCACTGACCATCGACTGTCATCTGTAAGATTCGCCTGCCATTCTTCCACTCCGGTGGTGGGTGTACACCCAGGACCTCATTCAAACCCATCCTCCAGATGTCGAGGGGAAATGGGTGAGGTTTAGGACTGTGGCTCATGCAACTGCAATGGCTGCTTTGGGTACATGGTCCAGACCTCCCCAGAGACCCTGGCAGACAGAGGAGGTGTTGAGGCTGGTTGAGAAAAAGCAACAGGTCCACTCTCATCGGCTACAGAATCCCACGTCAGAGAATGGGGCTTACTGCAGCCTTCGCTTGGAGGTTCGGAGAGCCGTGAGGCGCTGCAAGGATGGGTGATGGTCGTGGGTTGCTGAGGAGATGGAGTCTGCCTCAATGGCCCACGATCACAAATCGCTATTTAACTCCATAAAAAAAGTAACCTACAGCACCACACCTATTACCATCATTAGGGGGAAAAAAACGGGATCCAATCTCCGACCCCCAGGAACAGGTTTGCAGATTTGCTGAGCATTTCTGTGAGGTTCTGGGGGAGGGAAAATCCCTCAGCCTGGAAAACAACGTGGGACAAAGTGGGGATGACCCTGCTGAGGCTGCAGTGTCTCAAATATTGAAAGAAGTCACCTCCTGCGAGTGGCTGGCTGAGGTGCCTTCTTTTGAGGAAGTACTGAAGGTGATCCAGACTCTTGAGACCAGGAAAGGCACTGGGCAGAGATGATCTCCCAAGCGAAATGCTGAGGGAGGGTGGCGTTTGTGCACAGACTGCCCTACATGACATCATAACAACAGTCTGGACCACTCGACGGGTTCCGCAGGATTGGAAGGATGCCCTGGTGGTCCCCCTCTTTAAGAAGGGGGACCGCACAGACTAACAACTACAGGGGCATCTCACTCCTCAGTGTGCCGGGAATTGTCCCGCCAAGGATTATTCAACATCGCCTTGCCAGGCACGCTGAGGAGAGGCTTGCGGAGCCCCAATGCAGTCTCAGAAAAGGACAGCTTTATTGACGTGGTCAAGGCCTATGATACCATCAGTAGGCCTGGGATATGGGTTATTCTTTGTGCTTTCGGAGTCCCTGACCCTCTGCTCACGATCATTAAGGACCTTCATGATGGTGCGCGGGCCCAGGTAAAACTACGTGGCTGGGAAGTCGGAGCCATTCCCTGTTCACCTTGGAGTGCGACAGGGATGCCCTCTGGCTCCCACATTATTTAACATCTTTTTCGACCACGTAGTTCGTGAAGCCTTCGATGGCTGTACCAGAGAAATTTCAATCTGGTACAGATACAATGGGAGGCTGATCGATGCCCGGGGGTGGTCAAGGGATGGCTCCCTATGGTCAAACCACATTATGAATGATCTGGTAATTGCTGCTCACTCAGAGGAGGAGTTGGAGGCGCTGCTGCTGAACCTGGAGCTTTCCACTAAGAAGTGGGGCCTTACCATTAGCCCCACCAAAACAAAGCACCTGCCTGGGTACTTTGTACCATCGGGCACTCCACCCCCACAACTCCCAATTGGTGATGGGGCAGTAGTGGAGAGAGTGGAATTTCCCATACCTGGGCAGTGTGCTCATGACCGGCTCCGGTTTGACAGCAGAGGTCTCACTCCGAATCAGTTGAGCGGCATTATCTTTTCATCGGTTGCGTAACACTGTGTGGAAGCAACCTGGTCTGCGTGGGCTATACCTATACGGGGCATTGTTGTCGCTGTGTGCAGTGAAGGGCAGCAAGTGTCCTTGTAGAGACAAACGGCTGTGTATCTGCGTCTCTTGTCTCCAGGGGGACACGTACGACCTCATGTCCTCACGCGGGAAGGAGTGTCCCACGGTGAGTTTGTGTCTCCGTGTCTGTCCACATGGCTGTCTGTCTTTGCATTTTTATGTCTGCCTCCATGTGTCTTGTGTCTTTAGGTGTATCTCTCTGTGTCTTTTTTTCTCTCTCCATGTTTCATATTATGTGTCTCCGTGTTGTTTTATGTCTGTTGTGTTTTTTTCTGCATCTGTGTCCCTGTGTATCTCTATTTGTGTGCATGTGTGTCTCTGTGTTTGTGTGTGTCTTTGTTTATATCGCTTTCTGTGCACAAGTGTCTGTTACTTGTGTCTTTGTAATTGTGTGTGTCTCTGTATTTGTGTGTTAATGTGTTGGTCTGCATCTCCCTATGTCTTTGTATATCCCTGACACTGTGTTTTTTCTTGTCTCCCTACGTTTTTCAATGTCTCACTTGAATTGTCTCGGTTTCTCTCTATGCCTCCTCCCGTATGGTCATACAGTTACTCCGTACGTTCTCACTGTGCGTTTTTCTACGTCTCCTTCATTTGTGTCTCCCCATATCTCCCGATGTGCACATGCTTGTCCTCCTCGGTGTCCCCGTTTGTCCCTGTGACTTCCGATATCTCGCTCCACGTCTTCTCACCGTCCCCTTGTGTGTCCCCGCGTGTGTCCCTGCGTGTGTCCCCTTGTGTGTCCCCTTGCGTGTAGTTTGTCTACGCTGTCCCCCGTGAACATGGACACGAAATGTTCATGGGGCAGTGGGCGAGCAACTCAATCCACTTCACCTCCCTCATTAACTTCCAGGTGACGAGGCACATCGTCATCATCATCACCATCATCACCACCACAATCATCATCACCACCACTATCATCACCACTATCGTCCTCATCATCATCATCACCATCATCATCACCATCATCATCATCACCATCATCACCACCACAATCATCACCACCACTATCATCACCACTATCATCATCACCCACAATCATCACCATCATCACCACCACAATCATCATCACCACCACTATCATCATCACCACCATCATCACCCACAATCATTATCATCATCACCTTCACAATCATCATCACTTCCACAATCATCACCACGACATTTATAATCATCATACCCACCGCCATCATTATCATCACCATTATTGCCACCATTAGTATCATCATGAACATCATTACCACTATCGCCACCACCTCCATCACCTTGATAACTGAAATTTAGAACTTCAGAGGCAAGGTTTAGCATAGCATGTACATTCATGAAACTCGAAAACATGACGGGCTGCGTAGTGACAGGCATATGGCAGTACAGCATATAGATTTCTAAATCCATCTTTGTGGTGCGTTTGAGTGTAATCTCCTCCTTATATGATACATGGGTTTTCTCCTACATATTAAGCACTCAATAATTGAATTGTAGGACCCTCTTGAAAAAGTCTTCAAACTCAGTCTAACTTGGAAAAAAGGCAATATTTGTAAGGCGTGTTCCTACACACTGAATTTTTACTGTACATCCAATGCATATAGCCACGTGTGAGTAAGTTACTAAGAGAGTGACTGACATGCATTCTAAAGATGTTCTAGAGGAGCTAGAAAGAGGATATTTGGTACAAATACAGTGGACTATGCTCATAAGTGCAAAAAAATGTTTATTCTAAATGTTTTGATTAGGACTCCCACAATTTGGGAAGAATTTGTGAACTTTTCTTCTTGAACCTGGGCCTAGGAATCTTAGCATGTCGATGTTTTGAAGGGTGCTGAATCTTAATGTGGCATAATTTTCATAAAAAAATCAACTTTGAATAGTGCATCGTATACAGCTCGTCGAGATGAGTCTAATGCCGTATCGCTGACCATCAACAGACTAAGAATGACTGCATTACGGACATTATGCGAGAGCCGGGGTACTATGGTACCCAGGGGTACCGCCACATACATCTTGTGGGTATCTCCATTTTCCGGGTACGTCATCGAAGGCTGTGACGCTGGATCCAGTGGAGGTTTGGGGCGACACGTCCGTGTGCTCGCGCGACAGACACGCGAACCGCTGTCGGTGGCATCACCGTGTGTGTGTGTGATGCCGTCGGTGTGTAGACCCGAGGGGACTTGGCCGAGAGCCAGCTCGTGATCCAGCACTACACAGAGCTCCGGGAGAGCAAGGGACTCGTTCTCATGGTGTCGGAGACCTTGGGAGAGACATTGGTGAGACCAGCTTGGATTCGAGATCCCAATTCAAGGCCCCGGTCTCTTGAAACACAGACTCAATCGACACTTCGATTCTGGGATCTTGTCTCACTAAAACCCAGACACAATAGAAACTTCGATCCTGTCACCCGGTCACCTAAAACCGAGACTCCCGAAACCCAGACTCAATAGAGACTCCCTATCCTGAGGCCCGGTCTCAATCAGCACTCCAATCCAGTGACAGGCCTGCTCTGTATTTCCTAAAGTCATATGTATTACTCATTTTTAATAGAAGTATGCATCATTCCATGATTGCAAATCACATCTGTAAGCATTTAGTAAGAGATCTGCCAAATGTATTACAACAACTTACTTGCTTGCTTTTTTGATATCCACCATTACCCTATCTGGTCCAGGAGTTTTTCCTGTTTTCATTCTGCGAAGGGCAGAGTCGATGTCTTCAACTGAGTCGGTTGGATTTCTGGGCTACGTGCATTTCTATGCTGTATAGATTTGCATAACATCTTTCAATGTAAAAATTATATCTCGTGATTTACCATTGCGTTTATCTCCCTAAGGGTGGCCATTTGTGATTTGCCAATAATCATCTTCCTCTTTTGCTGCTTTCATGCCCTTGCTGCTTGCTGTTAGGGTTTTCCTGGTATATGTGTTTTGTTCTTCCATCTATTTTCACCTTTTTTCCCCAAAGCATTTTTGCAGAGTTTGTGTATTCTCTCTTATCATTTGTCTGGACATTTTCATCTGTTTCATCTCTATTTTATCTATATTTTCTGCATCATACCTTTTGTTGTGACAGATAGCTTATTCTCCAGTTGCTTATTTTCTTTGCCCCCAACTTTCAGTCGACTATCCATTGCGATGTTCCCCGATTGCTTATGTATATAAATGTATATGTGATTAAACGTGTGTGTCTCTGTGTGACATCTCTCCACAGTCCTCTCTGGAGGCAAGGTGTCTGGCATCACAAGTGCAGATATTCTATGCCGACCCGGGCCCAGAGTCAAAGTTCAGCCTCGTGCGTCGCCTAAATCAGAACCCCTCTGACTTCGATCACATGACCCTCCTAGCTGCACTCAGGCAGCAAGGCATTCCTGGGTATCGGTGGGCAGATGGGTGGTGCGGTGCCGGCCAATCACGAGTGAGAGCCAGCAAAGTGCTTTCAGCCAATAATATTTAAGAAGAGGATGGTTTGTGTGTGCGCATGTGCGTGCGTGTATGTTAATAACGTGTATGTGGGTGTTGACCACCGAAAAAACCTAAGAGTATGTGGGTGGGGTTGTGTCTGTGAGTGCATGTGTGGAGAAAAGTGGTGTAGCGGTTAGCGTATTGCGGCTACGAACCCTGCGACCCGAGTTCCATTCCCGCTCAATATCTGAACCAATCCTGGACCTCCCCGAGGTTGACTAAACCTTAAATGACTACCTGGTGCCACATATAAGCATCAGCACTGGGGAGGCAAAGGCGGTTTGGCATGGTGTTGACCACACCATCCCCTCGTACGCTGTCCCGGCCATAATCAGTGCACGCTAACAGCACTTGCCCCAACCGCCTATACGGCTACAAGGGGCGTATTTTGTTTATTACAATGGCTCACACATTGGGCTATGAACCCAGTAATGGGGTTTGATTCCCTGCCGTGGAGGCCATTGGTGGCAAGCGATATCTGCACCTGGACTAGGCAGCCCTGTATGTTGGCTTAGCCCTCAGCGAATGTCTGGTATGGTGTGTGAATATCCCCACCCCCTCATAAATAGGTGCTCGCAATAACGCTTGCAGGTTATGCACCCAGACGCTGTGATCTGTGCGTGGGAGTTTGTACTGTGAACAGTTTGTACACATGTGTTTGAATGTATGAAGTTACGTTGTTCAATCTGGAACCGAGACAATATTTAAATAAAGCTGCTTTTGTGTCCAGCAAAGAAAGAGTTGATATAATTATTTAATCCTGTCCCTTATGACTACAAATATTGCTTCGCAAGGAAGAGCACAGAGGCGATTGCAGACACTTGGCCGGCACCACGGATGGTCCCAAGGTCAAACAAACTATAAACAATTTTTTATTTTTTTTTCCAGGTAAGGCCCACTGAGCTATAGCTCTTTTTCAGAAGTGACCTGGTCATAAATGATAGGGCAACAACGTGGCTTATCACGTGGACATTTCTACCAGCCAAATACTCTAAAGACATGGTGATCCTAAATGTGGAGGTAACACCTTGGAGGACCCGCAGATAAAGCCACACGACCACATGCATACTCCAAATATACAGGCGTTGGGATCGAACCCACGACCCGTATACCAGGTGATGTAGTTAACATCTCGTCATCTTGGCGCCCTCGAGTTGGGTGTTGTTCATCATGGCCATTTTAGCAATGCAGACAATCCTGGGTTGGAGCCCCGTGTCTGGGTGTCCCCCTCTCTTGAGGTTCATAATGGTCGTATTGGAGAAGCTGGGTTGGAGCCCAGGGTAATTGGTGCCTGAGCATTCTGATCATTTGTTTATAAGGGCAATACAAGTGAAGGCTTCTGGGAATTGTTATATTAAGTGGCCAATGGGAATGTCATTTAACCAGAAAAGTAGCATAAATTATACATGTGTAGTGAGTCACTTCGGAGACAGTAATAGTAGGAGGCAAAACGTTTATTCTACACTCTAAACACTGTCCACACCACGGGATAACTATAAACGGGTCAGAGCAGCCGGCACGCTGTCTGACCCACGACGCCGGAGACGAAGACGTCGCACGTTGGGTTCCATTCCACCCACAGCCCTTATCCAGCCTCGGGACTTCCCTTTTATGCCCCCCGGCGTGGCCTGTCTCCGCCCTCGGTTACGCCCCCTCCTGGAACCTACCAGAAGGTTCTGGGCCACCTTCCACGTGTCCCCTGCCTGGCCACGCCCCCTTCTGGAACCCACCAGAAGGTTCTGGGCCATCTTCCACTTGTCCCCTGCCTGGCTCCGCCCCCTTCGGGAACCCACCAGAAGGTTCTGGGCCACCTTCCACGTGTCCCCTGCCTGGCTCCTCCCCCTTCTGGAACCCACAAGAAGGTTCTGGGCCACCTTTCACGTGTCCCCTGCCTGGCTCCACCTTCTGGAACCCACCAGAAGGTTCTGGGCCACCTTCCACGTGTCCCCTGCCTGGCTCCGCCCCCTCCTGGAACCCACCAGAAGGTTCTGGGCCACCTTCCACGTGTCCCCTGCCTGGCTCCGCCCCCTTCGGGAACCCACCAGAAGGTTCTGGGCCACCTTCCACGTGTCCCCTGCCTGGCTCCGCCCCCTTCTGGAACCCACCAGAAGGTTCTGGGCCACCTTCCACGTGTCCCCTGTCTGGCCACGCCCCCTTCTGGAACCCACAACAAGGTTCTGGGCCACCTTTCATGTGTCCCCTGCCTGGCTCCGCCCCCTCCTGGAACCCACCAGAAGGTTCTGGGCCACCTTCCACGTGTCCCCTGCCTGGCTCCTCCCCCTTCTGGAACCCACCAGAAGGTTCTGGGTCACCTTCCACGTGTCCCCTGCCTGGCTCCACCCCCTTCTGGAACCCACCAGAAGGTTCTGGGCCACCTTCCACGTGTACCCCTGCCTGGCTCCGCCACCTCCTGGAACCCACCAGAAGGTTCTGGGCCACCTTCCACGTGTCCCCTGCCTGGCCACACCCCCTTCTGGAACCGACCAGAAAGTTCTGGGCCACCTTCCACGTGTCCCCTGCCTGGCTCCGCCCCCTTCTGGAACCCACCAGAAGGTTCTGGGCCACTTTCCACGTGTCCTCTGCCTGGCTCCGCCCCCTCCTGGAACCCACCAGAAGGTTCTGGGCCACTTTCCACGTGTCCCCTGCCTGGCTCCGCCCCCTTCTGGAACCCACCAGAAGGTTCTGGACCACCTTCCACGTGTCCCCTGCCTGGCCACGCCCCCTTCTGGAACCCACCAGAAGGTTCTGGGCCACTTTCCACGTGTCCCCTGCCTGGCTCCGCCCCCTTCTGGAACCCACCAGAAGGTTCTGGGCTTTCCCTCACGTGTCCCCTCGCTCATCTTTGCCCCACATCCTTTACCCCGGCCTATCACGTGCTCACATGCCCCCTTCTGCCAGCAGCCAGCGCCACGCGCCCGAGTGATCCACTCCGTGGCACTGCGATGCTCTGCTGGCAGAACGGCTGCCCGGCTCTGCCGGCAGGTCGGCCGTTACGCCAAAATTCCGTCTCTCTGTCAGTGACCAGCGCAACGTGCCGTGATGACCCATTCTATGTCATTACATATGTTTAAAAACCACGCTAAACAACAGCAATTGCCATTCACCATTAAGTGATGTTGACATCGCAATGGTGGTTTGTGGCAGGCTAGGTGCAACTCAAGGTCACGTCCAATGGGTGAGGGCTTATTGGCAGGCAGTCGCAGGACAGACCCAGGTATCGATATCACATGGAAATTCTGTTTGAAAGGTTTCTTGAACGAGGTAGTAAAACAAAAATATGTTACAATAGTGTAGGAGCCACAGGGCATCCCTTGTCACATGCTGAAGGTGAACGGGCAATGTTCTCTTGACTCCTTGGGGCCGTTCATAAATGACGTCACGTGATTTTGGACGATTTTGAACCCCCCCCCCCTTCGTCACACGGCGTCACAAAAAGTCAGACCCCCCCCTCAAATATGACGTCACAAAGCTCTGCCCCCCCCCCCCCCAAATATTAAACATGTTCCAAATCGCTTTAAACTATTGGCATTGTAGTGCGTATTTAATGTGGCGCTGCACTCTGATGTTGTAGGAGAAAACATTTATCAAAAAGTCTATTTAATGAAGTAGAACGTGCTGTCTATTTATTTTAAGTTGCGCATTTTGATGTGACGTCACATTTCTCACCCCCCCTCGTCACACTACGTCACAAATGTCTGACCCCCCCCCCCTAAGTGCGTGACGTCATTTATGGACGGCTCCTTGTCACACCTCTCGTGTATATCAGCATGCCCACGTATACATGCTCATTCACGTGCAGGTAATCCAGCGGCCATATACTAACACATCCACATGCTCACACAGCACACACACGGTATGTACACAACCACAAATACAAGCCACATTACACACGTTTACAAAGACAAAGATCCCCCGTGTAGGATTCACATACTGTTGGGGCAAGTGCTGTCAGCGCTACTTGTACACGAAGCACTGTACAGTGCTTATATATGTGTACACAATCCACGCGTAGACACCCATAAACTCACTCATCCCTGGCCGAGAATCTTCAACTCGTGTCGCCATGATCTACATCGGTGTATCGACGACGGGAAACACCCTGAAACACAAAGACTGGGTGGGGGCAAGTGCTGTTGGGGAGCACCTCTGAAGATGGGCACGGCACACGAGGAGGTGTCTGGCCAACGAAACCACCACACCCGGCCGCCTTTGTCTCCCCAGTGCTAATGTTTACTTACATTTTTTTTTCTCTAAAGTTTGACGACGTGGGATGCTCAGAATCGGTTCGGATCATTCGTCAGCAATGTTGACCGCGAGCGGGAATCGAACTCGGGTCATCGGTCGTGTTGGCAGCGCGGTGCGCTAACCACGGCGCCACCGCTCCCCCACCACCCCCCACACTCGAACACTCCACGTGCAAAAAAGAACCCTCTCGTGTAGCCTCAACAAGCTGCTGGGGCAAGTGCTGTTATGAAGAACGGCACCACGCCCGGCCGCCTTTGTCTCCCTCGTGGCGACGATTACACACCGCACCAGGTACTCATTTGAGGCCGAGTCGACCTAGGGGAGGCCCAGGGCCGTATAATCGTCACTGAGTTGTTGGCCGTGAAGCGGGAATCGAACTCGGGTGGCCGGGTTCGTAGCGCAGCGCAGCGCTAACCGCTGCACCACCGCTCCCCCCCCCCACGCAGTGGCACATTCACGTGGGGACGCACACACGCACCACGCCGCCCACCCGTGCCACATAAATTGAATATAAAAGTTTAATGAGGCTGAACGCTGTAGATATAACAAAACCACATCAAAAATACTCATAAATAAATATACAATAACAATGGCAATAATGAACACGATCACTGGGAAACGGCACAAGACGGATCGTGTGTTTACAGACACGCACGTGTACACACACAGCACCACACGCCAATAATACACACACACAATATACACATACACACACACAATACACACACAATACATACACAATAAACATACACACACACAATATACACACACACACGTGTACACACATAATACACACACACAATACACACACACAATACACACACACGTGTACACACACAATACACACACAATACACACACAATACACACACAATACATACACAATAAACATACACACACACACGTGTACACACACAGCACCACACGCCAACAATACACACACACAATACACACACAATACACACACAATACACACGCACAATACACACACACACAATACACACACCCACGTGTACACACACAATACACACACACAATACACACATAATACACACAATACACACACAATACACACGTGTACACACACAGCACCACACGCCAACAATACACACACAATACACACACGTGTACACACACAATACACACTCACTACACACACACACAATACATACACAAACACGTGTAGACACGGCATCACACACGTGAACAACACACACACACATGTACACACAATACACACACACGTGTACGCACACACACACAATACACACACACACACACACGTGTAGACACAATACACACACACGTGAACGATACAAAAAAAACCTTACAACCTTAACAGACTGTCGGGGCAAGTGCTGTTAGCGAGCAGCACCTATGAAGGTCGGCACGGCACACGAGGGGGTGGGTGGCCAGCAACCACGCCCGGCCGCCTTTGTTTCCCCAGTGGCGATGTTTACTACACACCGCACCGGGCGTGCAGTAAACACGACATTGATGCACACAAAGACAAA